GTGCGCGTGTTTCGCTTGGTTATGCCGAAAAGTGAAATAAATCAATAAAAAGACGAAATGCGACTCCGCCACTCCACCCGCAGTTACTCGTCAGAGTTCAGATCCTCGATCGCCAGGACGATCTTGTCGTAGCTGGACTGGAACTCCGGGTCCGGCTTCAGGAGAACTACCGACGTGGCGCGCTTGCACTGCGTCGCTGTTCCTAAGTCCTGCCGCGAGGGCACCCACACGTACGGAATCTTCGCCTCCTCCGCCATCACTGGGAAGTGCGAAACGACGTCGTACGGCGAGGCATCCGCGCCGAGGATGAGAACGCCCTTTTGCCCCTTTCGGATGGCCTTGGTGACGTCCTTGATCCCCTTCAGGATGCCCTTTTTGTTCTTCGTCACCGTCTTCTTGACCAGTGAGTACACCTTCTTCGTCATCTTGGGCTTCTCGGAGGTGATGGGCCACGAGATGGGGCAGCGGTAGAGCTGCCGATCGTAGTCGTACTCCTCCGTGTTCTGCTGCTCGTCCTGCTTCTGTTCGGTCATTGCCTTTTTGTTATTTCCTTTTTTTCTTGGAAGTCTGTTTTATTTTTATCCCCCTTCGTCTTTTTCGTTTTTTTTGTATCGCTTTGTTTCCTACTGCACCAACCCGCACTCTTAATTTAGTTCCGTTGCTTGCCTGCTTGCCTGCTTTTGCGTCTTCGGGGGCGCGCTGCCGACGGTGAGAGGGGGCCGCACACAAGACTTGGGGGAGCAAAAGAAGGCGGAGGAGGAGAAACACACATGAGGCGACGAACACCGACAGCCACTCCGTCACTCTCTCCGTGGCACCACGCACACGACGGAGGGAGAAAGAGAAAGAAATATGTATATATACATCAAGCGCGCGTGCGTGTGCGTCAATGGCTCAACAGGAGAAGGCAAGGACGGCAATGAGGGCAACGCTTTGGCGCCCAGGCAGCCCTCGCATCCTTCATTGATGCATGCGTCCCCTCGGTTGGAGTTCATTCCTACAAACAAACAATAAAACAAAAACAAAACAAAAATGAAGGAGGGAGGGAAGGGGGGAGTATGCAACAACAGAGAGAAGCTAGGGAAATAAGCCTTTAGATTTTTCACTTCCTCTGGGGCGATACCAATAAATGCGGGGGCCCCGCCGAATACAATGACAACGCACCAACAAACTTACACCTCCTGCGACACCTGAAAGATCTGCGCGCGTGCGTCTCCGCCCACTGTGTAGAGCAGCTTGACACGCAGCGTCAGCAGGCGGGGGTTCTTATTGCTTTTAGAGTTGTCCACGGTGAGCTGCTGCACGATGCGCCCATACGGCGGGATCGCCGTAGAAGTCAGAAACCCAATGTCCAGCGTCGAGGTCTTTGGCACCGCTGCCTGAATTGAGAGGTTCTCCATCGCGGTGGGAAGCCGCGAGACAAAAATGACGCCCACGTGGATGGCCTCCTGCACCACGGCACTCAAGCTCACGGTGAAATCGTCGCAGTCAAACACATGCACCTCGGTAGCCCGTGCGGGCTCAACTTCCGCAGAAGTGGCCGCTCCCCACGGAGTCGACTGAGAGGCAGCAGCCGGGGTGACATCCGCCTTCAAGCCAAAGAGATCATCTATGGCGAGGGCCGTGTTTTCGCCTCGGGAGTTGCCCCCGGCCGCAGCCGTCGCCGTCGCTGTCGCCGTCGTCGTCTTGGGATCCACGGCAAACAGGTCCTCCAGCGCCACGGCGGCCTTTTGCTGCAAAACCTCGGGGGGAAGATTCACCTGCGGCACTGGCTGCACCTCAACCTCCTCCTCCTCCACGCGACGAATGGGTGGCATTCGCGTAAAACAGAAGGCTGCCTCTTCTGCAAACGACTCCAGCAGCGTTGTGTACTCGCACGCCCTCTGCTGCAGCTCACAGTCCAAGCTTGTAGAGTAGCTGGCAAACACAGGGAGGGCAATTGGCTTCGCCGACGGGTACCGTGCAACGATCTTCATCAGAGATGTGAGCCCGTAACACTTGATAATGCCAAATGCACTGTTAATGGTAATATCCGCGATGCACTTCGCCACATCTTCCGGCTTCACCCCTTTTGACTGGATCAACAAATCCACGTACTCGCCAATACCCCACACCGCCGCCACGAGAAACGCCTTACGCGATTGATGCAAGGCGTCAAACGGGTACGAGGCCTCGTCCCACATGGAGACCACCGCAGGGGTTTGTATCTCTGTCGATTCATTTGAAAGCACTGCTATGAGTCGCGTCGCAAAGTCGACTGGGGCGTACTGCTTCGCTAACCGCAAGACCCGGAGTGAATATTCCACACGCCACTCCGTATTAGGCGATTTCTTCTCTATAATGCGGCACAGATGCAGCGTCACATCCTCACGCATCTCCTCCGAGGAAACTGTCAGGTACGAGACTAGGTCCGGCACCAGCAGGCGCAGATTGTCCTCCGTGACGAGCGCCACGGTGAGGTCCAGCGCGCGGCGACGAATGGAGACGTCGACGTCCTTGAGGCAGTCCAGGATGGTGTCCTGGTGCTCGCGCACCGCGTCTGCGTGGCGGGAGGCGTAGTCGAGAAGCGACTCCAGCGCCACAAAGCGATGGTTGTTGTCGCTCGAGGAAAGGAAGCGGCTGATGGTGTTGATGCCTAACGTGCGAAGTCCCTCATCGCTCTCGACGGCGTAGATCGTTTTCACGCACTCGTACTGAATCGAGCAGCCGACGTTGCGGGAGGCGTCCGTGTTGGTGAGCACCTGCGCCAAGACATCGTTCAAGGCCTCCGACGTCACAGCGCTGCCCGTGCCAATGATTCGCATAAACTGCAGCAGTTTCACCTGCAGAAAGGGGTCCGTGACGCCGAGCACGTCCTGGTCCGTCACCCGCGATGAAAGGACCAGCTGCTTCAGTATGCGGACCGCGGCGTTCGCCAGGGGGCGGTATTTGGGCAAAAACGCCTCGCCTTGCGGCAGCTGCAGGCATTCGTTCACAAGCGTCACGGCGGCCAGCAGCTCCCCCGGGCTGCGCTCACGAAAGAGGCCTGTGAACATATCCAAAAACACCTCGGCGTAATCGGGTATTTTCTTCACAATTCGAATCGCCGCCAAGCACGCCTTCTTTGACAAATACGTGTTGGAAGACCGTGCCAAGCGGCTGACCTCGTCAAGTATGTCGCGCGCCATCACCTCACTCGCGATGTTGGCCACCACGTTCAACGCCATGGCCTGAATGAGCGGCTGGCCCTGCGCCAGATCCTGCTTGATGTGGTTCTCCGAGAGCGTCAGCACCTCGTCGTTCTCGTCGAGCACCATCTGCAGGGTGAGGTAGCCGACCCGTTTGCCGGCGTAGTCGGCCTGCGCGAGCAGGCTCACCACCTCCACCTGCCCAAACTCCGTCGGGTAGCCAAGCATGGTGATGTATAGCAGCTTCAGCATGTTGCGCGTGCGCAGCAGCGGCCTGTTCTCCCGAAAGGATTCACGAATGTTGGCGCACTCCCGCTTGATGAGCGCCCGCTCCTCGGCGGAGGTTCGGCACTGTCGCACGGCGGAGATCAAATCCCGCAGCCGCATCGTACCCATCAAATCCATCGCGGCCCCTCCACACCGCTGGCCGCCTCTCGTTGCCTCCCTTCCCTCCCTCACTCTATCGCCGAGGTCGTTCTCTCTGCTTTACTTCGTTGCTTTCCCTTCCTGCAACTTCACGCACGCGAATCTCTTCTCCCCCCGACGGCGCACAAGTCCCACGAGCGCACGCAAAGCCAGGGAATGGGCCTGACGCAACCGGCGGCAAGATATACCTGCCGCGACGGCGGTGGGGCGGGGAAGGAAAAGCGAAAGGGGTGGGGGTAGAAAGAGAGAGAGAGATAGAGGGAAAAAAAAGGCACGGTTGTGTGCACCAACGGGCAACACATCCCCGCCAACGCGGCACGCAGGCACAGTCGCAGCACGACTGCCAAGAGAAGAGCGACAACAGGCAGAAACAAAGTTCACAGGTGCAGAAGAATAGCAGAAGTTCATTGCCCTTTATATATATATATATATATTCGATTCGTGTGTGTTTCCCTTTGCGCCTCCGCCTTCGTATTTTGTTTTTTTTTGTGTGTTTTTGGTCAAAGCTGTTGGTTAGTCTTTTTTTTTGTTCACTCCTTTTCTTCGCAGTGTTGGGGCCCTTGTCGTTGTCGTTGCCTTTTTTTTTTTCGTGCCCGCCGGCAGCTTACGGAAGACACACTCCACTCACACCGCGGGTGGGGGAAGGATTGAGAGATAAGAAACGAAAAGAAGAATTAGAAGAAAAAAAAAGAAGAAGCGGGGCCAAACGCACTCGTGCAGAACGTCACGACAAACTGAAATTCTTCCGGCCCTCCGTAATCGCCGTGAGGAGACGCGCCTTCATGATCGCCCGCGACGTGTACGGCGGCAGCTTAAAGTACAGGAAGCAGGTGTTGCACGAGGGCAGCGTCTGCTCGCGCGGGCCCTCCAGCTCCTTGCGCACCACCGTGATCTTCCGCCCCAGCCCCGCGAGCCCGTTCAGCGGGAGCCGCGGGCTGCCCGTGAGAAACTCGAGGAAAAACTGCTGCTCCTCCCGTGTGAACTCGCCGCCGACAAGCGAAACCATCATGGCGACCTCCCGCGACCCCACGGAGTAGCCGTGGGCCTCCACAATCGCCGCGCGCAGCGCCTCCTCCCCGAAGAGGCGCCCCTCCGCCCCCTCCCGCGAGGCCCCGGAGAGGATGACACTCATGTCGTCGTCCGACACAAACCAAAGAGCACGCAGGTCGAAGACGGTGGAAATCCCAAGGGCAAACCAGCGAAGATTTGAGGCTGCGTGCACCAGATGCCCCTCCACGCGTCGCTCCACGTACGCCTGCGCGGTAGCGGCCGTCAAGACCACGCCGCTCTCGTCCTCCAGCCCCATCTCCGACAACTCAGCGTCGGTCGCCCGCAGCGTGCAATCATACGCGTTCACCAGGCTCGGCTCCAACTCTGCGAGAAGAGCCCACTTGGCTTCTAAGGAGACGGACTCCGAACGGATAAAGGGCCACGCCAGCGGGAGAAGGTCCACATTAATTACGTAGTCGTCTACAAATGCACGTGCACAAGCGGCACCGAGAACGAAAAACTCTTCGGCATGCACCTGTCGAAGGGTTGGAAAGGCCTCGCGTCTTCCATCATCCCTCTCATGCCAAAGCGCCGCCATGTCACGATAGCGTTGCGAGAGCTCAGCGTACAACTCCTGCGTCGGTCCCTCGCCAGTGCCCTCCTCACCCTGAAACTTGAACTCAACCTTGTTTCGTATGGAGGGGTACTGAAGAAAGGCGTCGAAGAGCGCCTGCGTCATGGCGTTTGTTTCCCGATTTACTGTGAACTTCGTTGGCAGCCCGTTGCTGGCAATTTCCCCGCTGACGCTCCCCCGCACCGGCGCACCTAAACCTTGCAAATGGAAGAGCGCAAATCTTCGGCACCCAACTGCGAGAAAATGGGCCGTGTCACGCTTAAACGGAATTGAAAGGTACGGGGACGCCACCTCAAGCAGCTGAGCCACCCGCGTCGGGATGCCCGCAAGCCCTTTTTCAAAAATGTCCCCCCCAAATGCCTCCAAGACGTCCACAATGGCAGACTCCACATCGCCCCACTGCGGCGGGGCACCGACGGCGCCCAGAAGGACCTGCAACGGTGACTCATAAGCCGCATGCTCCACGGGACTGGCAACAAGCAAAGGAGCCGTGAGGTTGCATTTGCACGGATTGCCCACCTCGGCAAAGTGCACCTCCTCCTCCTTTAGCCTGGAGGCAGGAGTGGTGGCGGGAAGAACTCCCTTAGAAATAAAAAGAAGAGAATGCTGTAATTTTTTCTGTAATGAAGCCTCGCCAGAGCCCCCCTTCGCCTGGCACTCACGCCAATAGCGGACAATGTCACCTACGTTGGCGGAAACATTAGCGTCTACCCGTGAAATTTTCTTGTTAGTGCAGCCTATGCATAAGTCATAATCGCAGTCCCGACAAGCAAGGGAACCAAACACATTCGTTTTTCCGCACTTGTTGCAGGTCCAATCCACACTAAAGTGCACGCGAAGCGGGTGGCCATTGGGGCAAAAAAGCTGACTCTTCTCACCCTGCGCCGGGGCACAGATGCCAACGCTATAGCACTTGTAAAACAAGGCGTCGCGCAAATCCTTCTGTTGTCGCTTGGACACACCAGTTGTATGCAGAGCACGGAGTATGTAGTGGTAGGCGGCGTCCCGCAGCCAAAAGCCATGGCGAGGGTCGTTTGCGGCAAGTTCCGCACAAAGCTTTTTTAACTCCTGCCTCGGCAGGGAGGAAGTATCCAAGGCTTCAACAAACGCGAGTAGCTCGGACGGCGACGCGTGCGACAAAAACGCGGGGAGCTCTGTCAAGGGCGGTAGTTGCATCGGGGCCGCCTTCGGTGAACTTCCGGCGGAGCGGATGAGCTCGGCGACGGGGAGACGGTGCTGCGTCGGCGACGCGTTAACTGCGACCTTCTTTGTCGTCTTCGCCGCCGTAGACGTCGGAAGCGCCGTGAGTGCGTCGGCGACACCGGCCTCCAGGAGAACCGGCGCCCATTCCTTGTCGCGCTGCAGCAGCGCGGCGGAGATCGTCTCCACCACGCGCGGCCTCTGCTCGGCCGAGAGGCTTCGAAAAACGACGACGACGTCCTCCGAGGTGGTAGGCGCCCCGCCGCAGATGACGTACAATCGTATGGCACGCGCCAGGGAGGCCGTCTTGGAGTGGCCAAAGGTGAAAGGAAGCAGGGCATCTTGAATCAGGGCAGCGACTTCGCTCTTTATGTGAATAGACGCCGGTGGGACGGAGAGCTTCTCGTCATACACAAACGCGCTGGGCACGGGCTGGAAATGCATCCGCCTCAGCGCCGAGGGGAATGACCGGTTATCCGTCATGGCGCGCAGATCAAACCTACGACGCCTCTCAGGGGCACTATCGCTTTCTCCAGCTGCAAAAAACATGGCCGTCAGCTGCTCTCGATCGTCGCGCCGGTATGGAAAGTACTCGCCATCGACGGAGCGAAACGCCCACATGTGTTCGCCGCGAATCCCGAAGGCGGCACCGCAAAGCTTTGACAAGAGGACCAGCGCACTCCAAGCCAGCGGTGGGACAACCCACTGCAGGCTCGGCAACGACTGAGAGACGTCCGTCCACAGCCGGTCTCCAGAGGCCGCGGAGTGCGGGTCGGCGTCAAATGGGCTGGAATACCCCGCACTAGGGACGGCAGTCTGCTGCAGCAGCCTCGTCACCCAACCAATTGCCTTCGCATTCACCTCTGAAGCCGGCGACGAGACCTCCACCACACTTGCGACACAGGCCAGTGTGAGTTCAACAATCGACGGAGACACTCCACTGGAGCAGACGCGTTCCCCAATCGCAAGTAGGGCTTCTGTAGCGTTTTTCAGTGAGGCCTCCTCAAACGCACTATCAGCCTTCCTCGCCGTTTTGCTGTTGTTTTCCTCAGCGCCTCGAGCTCGCTTTCTGCGCAAAGGCAACTGTGGCACACACCACGCTCGGTACGTAATTATTCCCTCCACAACTGTGCGGAGGAGCTCCTCCCACTCGTGGTCAATGGGAAGCTGGGAGAGGAAGCCCAAGTGGTGCTGCAGCAGCTGCACCAGCAATTCATGATCTCCCGCATTTTGCACCACGCCACGCCGCATCATACCAATGCAGTGGTGTAAGACTTTACACGCCATCCACTTGGAGCCGTCCAGACTGCTAAAACAGAATTTCAGGTGCTCCTCCGTGGTGGGCGCAACTCTGGCCACTGCCTCGCAATTACCAGCCAGCGAAAGGCAAGCCAACAACTCCTCCTTCAGCTCCTTTTCGGTCGTCTTTGTGTACTGCAGCCTTACAGGGCACTGCTTTACAAATGAAAAGAGCTTCTTAAAACAGGTCTCCACCACACTTGTGGTTCCCGCCAGAACCGACGCTGGGAGCTTTCGGGAGAACTTGTCGAGAATGAGGGCCAGTGCCCGGGCTGCCAAAACCACAACGTTGCCGTCCTCCCCCGCCTTCTGCAGCGCCGCGTTGATGGCGGCGAACACACGCTGCACAGGAAAGTCGGTTCCCTCCTCCGCAATGACGAGAATCGTACACAGGTCCGAAAGGTTCTCGTAGGGAGGCTTCTTGAGCTCACAGTCAAACTCAAAAAGCATTTGCTCTGTCGTGCCTCGTTACTACCTTCCTCCAGAGAAGCCAACCTCAGCAAATGAAAAGAGAAAGTGTATGGATGTCTGGGCGCAAGAAATGAGGCAAGCTGAAGGGAAAAACAGCGTCGAAGGCCTCTCTCTCTCTCTCTGTGTGTACGTGCAGCCCACGCATAAACACCAGCAAAAAGAACAAGCTGCAAGACACAGAAACACAAAAAAAGTTCGTCAAATGCGTGTGCATCGGCACCGGACAAGAATCACAACGACGGCAGAGGGCCAACTAGTTATGCAGAAAGAACTTCCAACCAATCCAGCTCAGGTAGGTGCCAAGAAAAATAACTGGAGGAGACACAGAGACTAGCAGTGTATAGTACCAATCACGATCCAGTAGTGAACGTTCATTTTTTTGAAGCGGACGGCGCCAACATACCACAATCCGCGATACAAACCAAATAATATACACCCACGTGGCCACTAACGACGGCCAGCCAAGAAAGAACCGCTTCCACGGCTGCTCTCTGTAGTCAGGAGCATACTTGGTATGCAAGCCTATATTTTTTTCTGACGACTGCGACGTGGCGGGTGGCTTTCCGGCCTTCTCCCTGTGCGTGGCTTCAGCTCCCTCTTCCCGTGTTTTCATTTTTGGTCCACCTCCAGAGGCCCAGCGGGAGCAGCTACACACAGGGAAAAGCGAGAAGGGCAAAAAAAAAAAAGGAGCAGGGGAAAGGAAGAGGAGGAGGAGAACTGAGATCAACCGCAGTCCGGCAACAACGACAACAACCAATAACGTGGTCGGGCGTGTATGTGTTGCGGACAGCAGCTGGGGGCAGTGCCCCAGCAGCAGGAACTGAAGAGGTCTCAGGAAACCAGACAGCACCGAATCGAGGAAATAAAACAATACAAAAAGGGAGAAGAGCGGCGTAGCGTTGGCCCAATAAATCATAAAAATAAAAACCAACAATCCAATACGCATGACGGTACCCCTCCTCCTCCTCAGCAAACGCAATCAATAGCATTTTCAGTCCGTTCCTTTCTCACCTTTACTATATCCTTTTGTTTCCCCCCTCTTCCTTCGGCTTTTTCTCTATGGTGCCTTTCTCGTTCACCTTCGTGTGAGAATTGAAGGCTTTGCCAACTTGCCGTAACGCGGCGTGTAGGCGCCCGGCCCTGGTGGACCGCTGCATTGGAGGTCATTCCAATGGCCCGAGATGTTCATTCCCCCCCTTCCACGCAGAGAGGCAGTGACATTGTTCATAAAGGCATTCTTCTGACGCTGCATCAGTTCAAAATCGGTGCTCAAATGATAGGTGCCCTTACCGTTCGCAATAGGAATGAATCGCCGCTCGCGACCAAACGTACCTGCGTGCGGGTTGTCCTCCAGCAGAAAGGTTCCCATGGCCAGCGAGCTGTCTCGTTCCAAGCTGCGTCGCATGGAATCCTTCATCTCTCTAAAAACGTTTTTCTTCAACAACTTTTGTCGCTCCGCCTCGGAAGGAATACGGCGGCTATGGTTGATGCTGGAGTGACTGAATTGCCGCGCAGAGCTGCTCCGCGTAAGCTGTGGACGAGTGCGACCAACGGCGTCACTGGGAGCTCCGTGGCTAAGTAGTGTGCATTGCACGGGACTCGTGGAGGCGGCAGTAGAATTACAACCGCTAAGAAGCATCTTCCGCTGCTCCTCAAGTACGGTGCGGCGCTGCTTTAACGCCTCCAATTCCCTCTGAATATCCAATAGTTGCGCATTTGCCTCTGCCTCAGCGCCGGTGGCGCCCTCTGGCCTTTTGTGTGTTCCCTGCATAATACGCCTAACCTTCACGGGTTCAATTTCCGCCCCGCACCCCACCCACTAGCCGCTGCCACCGCTGTTCGCTCTTCCCCAGAGGAAAACAAAAGCCGCAAAAAGAGGAAAAAGACATGCACACTTTGCATACCTCGCCCTCTAACACAGTTTGCATTACTGCTGTACTGTTTTTTTTTTTTGGGGGGGGAGGGAAGTCATCGACTCTGTTTTGTCTTTTTTTGTTGGTTTTTTTGTGTGTTTTCTAGACCTTTGCCTCGGGTTTTATTTAGTTTGTTTCCCACCCCTCTTCTATTCTCAACGCCGAGGGGGGTTGAGGAGGAGGACGAGGAGGGGCCCTCCACTTCAGCCGCTCCAAACCAAACAGTAAAATATTGGGTGAATTCAGTAACACCCACACGGCTGATGCAGAAACCACGCACAAACGAAGAATGACGCTTTATCGTTCCATTTTTTTTTTTGTTCTTTTTTATTTTAGTTTTTTTTCCGCAGTTTTTAGCCTTCTGTCATCGCTTCGCAGACTCGTTTTCTGCCGCGTGGGCTGAAGTGTCCTCACTGGCTGACTCCACAGCAGGCGCGGCCCATCGCGGGAAAAAGAGGAGGATTCAACGTGGAACAAATGGAAGGAGGAAAAAAAAAAAACAATGAAGCGGAAATAGAGAAGGGTAAGAAACAAAACTAAAGTTCGGAGGAAAGTCGTTCTCCTATGCGTGTGCAGGTGCGCTTTTGTTTTTGCTTTTTGTTTTTTTTGTTTTTTGTTCATGCTCTTATTGCTCTTGTTGCTGCTCTCTTATTCAGCCGATGAGGCCTTTCGTCGTCGTCGCCGCGGCGGGGGGAGGGGCGTTGCTTCGTGTGCCGGCGTTGGCGTCCCCCCGGGGAGGAGGAAAAAAAAAAGTGACGGCGTGTGGCATCGAGTGCGGGGAGACTCGCTGAACGCCAGCACCCACCCGCCCCCCGCAGGCTCCCCGGGGGACGACCCAAAGACCTGAGCGCCGCCGCGCCGGGGTTGCGGGGGGGGGTCCAGCCGGGCTTTGCGCTTCTCCCCGAATTGGGCGGGAGCGGGTCCCTGCCCGCCCGCGCCGCGCGTGTGCCGCCGCTACCAGAATGGGGCCCAGCCAGTGATGTACGCCTCGGCGAGGTTGTCAAGGCTGGTGGCCTCCTGAATGAGACGATCGACTTGGTGCGGCACGTCAAGGCAGTTGGCCCCGCCGTTCACCAGCCGCAGCGACAGGTACGTCGTCCGTACCGGGTTCCCCATGCCAAAATAGTCCTTCTGGGAGTCCCCGTAGCTATGCGAGCCGCAAGAAGAGCCGTCGCCGGAGTCCTCGCCGGGGTCCTCGCAGGCATCCCGCCGAGAACTGTGGAAGAGGGAACTGTTGTTCACGGCATCAAAGTCCTCACCTGTCAGCTTGGCGCGGACGCGGGCGAGGGCCAGGTCACCCTGGATGTTGCGCGTCTCCTCCTCGTTCAGTTGGTCGACGGTCGCCCCCGCAACGAACTCGCGTACCCGCGCCACGGAGTAGGACAGCTGCATCTGCGGCTCCCTTGCGTTTGAGTTCACTGGGCTAAGGAGGTTGTTGTCGCCTCCCCGCACCGCGCTTTCCGTCCGCGAAAAGGATCGGTCGCCGTCGCCGACGTTTGCAAGACGCCAGTTGATGAGCGGGTCGTAGATGAAGGCCTCGAGAATGGAAAGGAGATTCTCGCAGTGCCGGCGCAGGTTCTTCATGACAAGCTCACAGGTCAGGCGATAGACCCCATCCACCCCAGTGATGCCAAGCGCACTCACAAGCAGACGCGTCAGGCGAAACGGCACAGCCTCTGCGTAGAGCGCACGATGCATAGCCACCTCAAAGCAGTCACCAAAGTCGATGTGGACAACAGCGCCTCTGCCCTGAAGCATGAGGTTGTTCAGGTGGCGATCACCAAGCCCCAGCACGTAGCCAACCATAGACATGATCGCCAGGGTGTGACCATAGGTCACACGATACTCCAACCACTGCTCACAGGTGTCATTCTTGTCCCAAATAATGCGTCGCAGTTCATCATCGGGGGTGTTATTAATGACTTCGCTTAACATGCTCTTGCGTCGTTCCTTGCTTTGCTGGTGATAGTCCTCAATATTACGCAGCGACCCATTCCGGAGAATCATATGCACCTCTTCGTAGATGGAAATACCGTGCTCCTTGCGTCGTGTCTCCAGCAGACGGTAGATGGTCTCTGTGTTTTCGACCCAGCCAATAATGCCGACGTTGTCTGTTAAGGGAATGACGGCGTACTGAGGAATTGTCAGTCCAATGGCGCTGGAGGAGCTGTCGGTGAGAAAAATGGTGTTAACAAACTCAATAAACTGCATCACACGTTCATCCTGCCGCAGGTCCTCATGCCCCTTCAAGAGGAAACGATACTTCTGCCCGTTTGAGGCGTCTAACCCAAGGCGTCGTGGTTTCTGCTTCGAGGACATGACAAACACCCGCTGATGAAACTTCTGAATCGTGATGAGGGGTTGGCCAAGCACAAATGAGCCCGGAACGGCTACAATACTTTCCCTGATGCTTCCCAATGTGGGGGACAAGTCCTCCATTAGGAGTCGTCGCTCCCCGGTGGCCTTGTTTAGCTGCACATACACCTGCTTCAGCAACGACCACGCCTGGTCTAAAGTGTTGTTTTGCAGCGCCACCCTGGCGTGGCGCAGCGTCGGGCCGTAGGTCTTCTCAAAGCCGCACTCGTTGGGCGTCCGCGGGTTCTCCAGCTCCCAATACAAGGGACTGAGGATGCGTAGAATGGCGCTCGCGTCAGTTTGCTTTTCCGCCGCCTGCTGAATGTGGCTGTGCCACTTCTCCGCCCACAAAATGGCAATGCGCACCATCTCGTTGCTGATCAGGGAGGCCTCACCCACCATCGGCCCATTCGAGACCCGGATCCCCTTCAGCACGCGCTCCGCCATCAGCTGCCGAATGGCCTCCGGAGACTTTTCCGTCACCGTCAAGGGATAAATCAGCGCATGTGGGTACTTGGACCCGACCCGCACGAGCAGCTCAGTGAGAATAGACCGTGCCGCCTTTGCCGTGATGCCGATGCGTGCCACGAGTTGCGGAATCACCTTCAGCCAGACATAATCCGGCACCCTGTCAATCCCTTCCTTGATCACCTCGTTGATCTCCAGCAGCGTGCTGTGGGAGAACCAGATGGAGAGTATGCGCAGCACATCCTCCATGACGCCGTCGCCCTGGCTACTGGAAAGCTCCACCGACTTAAAAAGCGCCGTAATCGAACTCACGTGGTGCCCCGTCTGCACCTCAAGCGGCGTACTCGGATCACGAGACATGTCGTAGTGCAAAATACCCAAGGAATGAAACGCCAGGTGGTTTTTGGGGCACAGCTCGGTTGCCTTCTTCAGCTGCTCAATCGCCTCATCTCCCTTATCTGGAAAGAGGTGCATCGTCCATTCACCCAACAACAACCAACAGCAACCCCACGCCTCCGCCCGCTCGTCGTCAGGACCCACCTGCAGTTGCGTGAGAATGTCGGAAAGCAGACGCACCGTTTCCCGTCTACTCTTCGTCGCGTAGCAGTGCTTCATGTAGGCGTGTATGACGTCCGGGTCTTGGCTGCAGAGGGCCTGGTAGTCCCCAGCCGGTTCTAGCAAGAGGTTCAACATGTGATCCGCAAACGAGGTCCACTGCGACCTTGACAACGCGCGAATACACATCACCTGGGAGGCCAAGTCCGACGCGGGGGAAAGCACGAGAGAATTTATGGTAATGAGGGTGCGCAGATGCGCCGGACGGGACGACATTTGCGCCAGGCGCCAGTGCCACAGCTCCTTTAGCATGCACCTACGCTCAGCTCCGGAGTTGACGAACGAGACCAGTTCCTCAAAGTGGCACAGGTGCTGCAGCTCCACCAGCATGTCGTAGGCGCGGTTGTAGCTCTCCATAAAAGACTCCGAGAAGGCGTCAAAGAGCGACTCACGGCGCTCCTTCGTGAAGCGCAGGAGTTCCTCGTGGCGATGCCGCCTAAACAGCGCAGCGCAACGCTCCACCATGCCCAGCCCCTCCAGCACGCCAGGCTCCTCCGTCAGGTCGTCAAACTGCTGCCACCGGCCCAACGCCAGCGCCACCTTCGCCTTCAACGGCGCCACTTCGGCGCGAGACTCCCGGTCCAGCTGCACCCAATTTTTGTTAATTACCGCCTCCATTTCAATGGTCTCGCCCAACGCGTCAAGGCAGCGCAGGGCCCCCAGGAGGGAGGAGGTGTTAATCGAGCCATCCGTGTTGAGCATGCGAGACTCGTAGCGAGCCAGTGCCTCACCCCACCAGTTTAACTGCTCCAACGCCCCCACCTCATCGAACCCAAACTGCTCTGGCGCAATGATGTTCCCTGAAAACTTGGCGGACATTTTCTTCACCAGGCCCTTCGCGACCATGCTTAACCCCAGGTGGTCGTAAAACTCAATGAGTCGCTCCGCCACCTGCAGCGCGGAGCGAACCGCGGTGTCCTGACGACAGGAAACCTGCTCCCCCAACCCGCTAAAGAGCTGATCAAACAACACCTCGTTTAAATATATGGCTTTCGCGTGCATTTGGGAGTCAAAGGCAACACGTGCTAAGACGTCAAGGTCCATGAGCGGTTTAGACTCCGGTCTTTGCCACTCTTCAACTTCGCAGTTGAGTGTAAGTTCAATTCTGTTAATTCCCTTAATGAGTGAAACAATCTCACTGACAGCCGTTACCTTTCTTCCATTGATGGCGACTAACAGCGCCCCCACAGGCACCTTCGCCTTGGCGCCTGGAGCGTTCGGCTCTAACTTTGTCACCACAATGCCTCTGGCGCTTTGATCGTAGTTGATCCCAAACTTCTTGTCCACGTCCTCCCGTTCCACCACACACGTCATGGTCACCGTCTTTTTTACCAGCTCCAATTTGTTCTTCCCGCGTTCAGACTCAAAAAACTCCGCAAAGCCAAACAAAATTTGTTTAATGTCATTGGGAGACATTTCCAGCGCACGGGTGAAGGTGTTCATGACAAGCGCCCGTTGGGCCTTGTCAAGTGGTGCAATAAAGGCCGCTGCCGCAAAGGTGAACAAGTCCCTTGATAGATCACTATTATATTTGGCGAGTTCCGCCGTGCAACGCAAGGGTTGAACCGGGGAGTTGCCAAGCATCTCCAGCGATGTTTTATGCAACCAGGCAATCCAGGACTGCTCCCGTTTCTTTTTGTTGGCCACCGGAATCGTGGCAATCTTTTGCAGGAGCGCCTCATTCACCTTGCACTCGTTCAACGGCGTCTGGTCCAGCTTGAGTATGCCCAAGTTGCGCCTTAGCACGGACTGCGTCTCCTGCGCCTTGCGGGTGAAGGAGCGAAAGTTAGTCGCCAGCTCCTCGCCACCGCAAAAGCGCAGGTTTATGACCGTCTGTCCGCTCTGGTGTGAGACACCCATCACCGTAAAGTGGTCACTGCCAAGCTTCAACGTATTCAGCATCTCCTCCTCAAAGTCCTCCCGTGAGAGCCCTGGCAGGTGGGACACGACGCTAAGAGGCAGTTCAGGTTTGAGTTTATCCCGCTTGGTGGACGGGACACGCACCTTCAGAAAGCCGTGGGCTGCCGAGTTGAGCAAGGCAAGAAACATGGAATCTGAAAAGCCCTTTTGCTCCGCAATGTGTTGAATAGGAACTATGAAGCGCTTCGCCTGGCGATTCACCAAGTCAACGAGGAAGGCCAGGGTGCTAAAGCCCATCTCAATCTCCTCCTGGCTGTTGGTGTGTTCAATGTACCACATTACCGTGTGCACAATTTCGGCGCAGCAGTCCTTCACCAGCGATGGCTGTTTCACCATGATTTGATTTAAAAAGTCAAAGCAGGCTGCATTGATGTCCTTTGACTTGGGGCGCAAGGCCGACGGCGTCGCGTCCTCCGGCTCAATGCATTGAAGCACATGTGGTAGGACCGACTGAAGATCTTTTTCGTGCAAGACAGCCAAAAATGATTCCAGTGACTTCACAGCACGCAGAACTAGATCTAGGTCAGATTTATCCTGTGAGACGCGTTGATGAATAAACTCCACCGCCCAACGATGATCTCGCATTTCCTGTGCAGAAAGGCTTCGGGCGACTTCATCCAGTAGCTCCACTACGCCCGAATTAAGCGGCTTTTGTGACGCCTGTGGAAGCAAACAAAACAATCGTATCGAATGAAGAAGCTCGGAGCCCGTGTTGGACGGTATGATGTCCCTGAAACACCGCAGCAGGGTGGCCAACTCTGTCATGAGCACTAGAATGCCCTCGTACAGGTGGTCGCGCTCTGGGTCGGCGAGCCACGTCTGCAGCTGCGGGAGAAAGTGCGTCAGCAGTATCGCCTTTTGGTGGCCGGGAATCTCACGAATCATGCAACTGATGGTGGCGATGGTGTCCGCCTGCTGCTCGGGGTCGGAGCTCTGCTGCAGCGTCCTTACAAGCAGGTACAGCAGAATCGAGGGATAGCGCTCCGTCATGTGCTGGCTGACGCGCATGCGTGGCTTGTAGCGCGCCAAGGCGGAGGTCACCACCTCCTCCGCCTCCTCGATTACATCTTCCTCGAGGGCCTTCAATACAAGGCGAAGCTTGATGGGATTCACGGCTCCCAGCACACTAAGCGCCTTCATGGCGGCATAATTGACATCCTCATCCTCCTCCGCCTCGGAGCGAATGATACGTGCGAGCGCCAGGTATATACCCACGTAGTTGAGCTGCTTCTTCACCGTGATCGTCGTCAGTATAGAGCAGAGGGTCTCGAGCGCCGCCTTGCGCCGTCTGGAGGAGGTGCTTCCGTTGATGATATGCAGCACAGGCTGAAGCAGCTGGTTGGCGTCGCAGTGGCCGTGCGGTCCCGTGCGGTCCAGGATCACGCGTAACAGGTTCAGCAGGGCGATGGAGAAACTCTTGGAAATAAACGGTTGCCGCTGCAACCGCTCCAGCACCGCAACCTCCACAGTGCGGGGTTGCAGCAGCAGCGTGTCGTGCTCCGCCGTCATTTGCAGCAGCGATGCCTGGTAGATGGCCGCGGACATGGAACCGTCCTTCGCCTCAATCTCGCGCAACATGTACTCCTGCTGGCGCAGCAGCTGCGAGTGCACAATCGCAGGGTTGCAGGGATGCAGCCGACACAGCAGCACCAGTGTCCGGTCCCGTGCCTTCTTAGAAACGTCGTTGCGCGCCATCAAGAGGGCGTCAAGGTGATCCTGCAGCGAGAGGTACAAGTTAAACGGGGTGGAAAGCCGGCACAGGACGTTGTAGCGAAGCTCCGCATCGCGGTCGGCCACGGCCACATCGAGCAGCTTCCCCACGGCGCCCGTGACGGTGTTGTTGAGCCGCTGTATCGGATGCGAGGCACTGCCGTCGTCCTTCTCATTATCAGACTGTGAAATGAGCTTCTCGCAGAGCGTCACAACGGCGTCCACGGCCGCCCGCCGCACCCTCAAGTCCTCATGAAACATCAACTCAATCACCCGCGCAATCTGCTCCGTGCAGCCGAGCGTCGCGAGAAACGGCAGGGCACGCACCAAGACATCCACGGGAACCTGCGGGGATATGTCGATTTGTAGCTGCCTGAACCGCCACCGCATCTCCCGGCCACGGCCCTCCATAAACGCCAGCAACGCGCTCAGTTTCGGCAGGTTGGTGTACGCCGCGTCAATTTCAATGCGATCAAGCAGCGCATCCACGCCGGCCAGCTGTTGCTCCCCGCACTGCGCTTGCAGGCGCCCCAGCGCGTCAAACGGGAGCTGGCGAAAGGGAAATTTAACAATAAAATCACATATTGCACCCACCGCAAGCTCGCCGTGCGGCGCAATGTTTGCATCCTTGAGAATGTCGTACAACGTCGAAAGCGCAACCACCGCGACGCTTTCCTCCCAGTCCGAAATGTACGACAAAAGGCACCGCACCACCCCAGCATACAGCTCCGCATCGTTTCTAAACAAGCACAAGGCCTTGCCGGTCGCTCGTGGGACCATGACGCAGACTTCGCTTGAGGAGCTATTCCAGTCACGCTCCGTCAGGAATGAGTGTATTGCCTTTAAAGGCCACGGTGCACTTTGAAGCGTCGGAGAAGCTGCCACGGTCTCGATGGCCGTCAAGAGGCCTAACACCCGTCCTTGTTCATCCGCGGTTTCGATACCTTCCGCCACCAGGGCAGAGAGTTGAGCCGCCATTGAGGCGGAGACCTCGATGCAGTGTTTCTCAACGACGCTTGTAAGCAGACCCACAAGCGCGTGCCGATGCCACATAAACGCGCTGTCAAGGGTCTCCTGCAGGAGAAACAGTGGGGAACAGGAGGCATTCAAAGTGTCCAAGAGCGCCGGACTTCGCTTGATGACGCCAGAGCTTGTTGCCACCATGGTCGCAAGTATTTGACACCCCACCGCCCTCTCATGCAGCGAAGCCCCCTGCCGCATCATGGCGATTGCGCGATTCAAGTACCTGCCCAGCATGTCGGAGGTGGAGCGGACATTCTCCTGCAGCACCTCGCCTAAGTCCTGCAGCACGGCGGCGCAATCCTCCTCACACTTGCCTCGTGCCGCCTGCTTCATCAGGAGTGCCACGCAGCGGGAGCGCTCCTCGTGTTGGTCGCCAATGTGTGCGTCGAAAACGACGCGAAGGGCCTGAAGCCCTTTTTTGTACGAGTCATCGAACGTCTCGTTCACGAGCTGGAAGAGGTAGTCGAGGAGGCCCAGCTCCGCGATCTCCTTCGGGTGGGCGACGAGGAGGTCGAGGAGGTCGGCGAGGCATTCGTTCACGCGCCGGGGCCGGCTCGACGGCGCCCCCTGCAGGTTGCGGAAGATGATGGAAAACTGCCGCCCCAGCGCCGAGGCGCTCTCCTTGAAGAAGCGATCGGTGGAACGGTACACCGCATCCGTCATCACCAACTGCCGGGAACCAAAAGCTGCAAAGGCAGCAGCAGAAGCAGCAGCAGCAGGAACGCTTGCAGGCACCACGCACTGCTCCTTCCCTTCGCTTTGCTCCCCTGCCCGCCCGTTACAAAGCAGGGATATATATATATATGTATATATATGCGTGTGCGCGTGTGTGTTTGTGTGTGTGAGTCTATCAACGTGAGGGGCGCCGCCGTCCCCGCCTCGCCCACACACACGCGTGCACGCACACAGAAAAGGAGAGATAGAAATAGAGCCCAATTTGACGCCTCACAAGGAATTAGTTTATTACCGACAACACAAAAACTACAACACAAGAAACGAACAGAAGAAAGAAAGAAGGAAAAAAAAACAGCTGTAATAATCTTACTTTTTAGAACAGGAAAGAAAGAGGCAAACCGTGGCGCCAGGTCGACGCAAACGATATTGCCCTACACCGCTAATAACAACAGGGATAGAGAGAGAGAGAGTAAGGAGGCGAGGAGGCGAGGGGAGGAGGATGAGAGAGCAACCGCAGCGGCCACAGAAAGAGAACAGCCACAGACCGCAGAAGAAGATGGAGTGGGAAGGAAAGGAGGTGGTGGGTATGCAGTTAAAGCTTTACCGCCGTGTCTCACTCTGCAGAACGCATCCACCGACGCCAGTGCGGCGGAACACCGCTCTTTTTTTTATATATATATTTTCTTCGTTTTTCTCTCTTTCTCTCTCCCGTCCAGTCGGTCCTGGCTTCCTTGCACGCCCCTTTCCCGCCCCCCGCCCGCCCGACCTAAGCACGACGCAACGTGCACGCCGTGAGTTTGTGTGGCGGAAAGAAGGCGATGCCCACAAAAAACGAATAAATAAACAATACTAATCAACACAGGGGGTGGGGCATGCGGAGAGGAGGACTGAGTACAGTGCGGAACTCACACACGGGAGCAGCAGACAACTAAAGGAAAACCCAATAAAAAGAGAAACAGAGGCGGAGGAGGAAGCAGGGGCGGGGAAAGTTCAATAGAGACTCCATCACTCTCAGGGGCACGCACACGCATACACACACAAACGCACCGCTCTAACGCTCAACGTCAAACCCGGCCACGACACCTTCGGTTGATATGTTGATCGACGGCCTCACGACGTTTGGAGGCAGCGGAATCCCGTGAAACTCAACGTTAAACACGGGTATCAATACTTCGTTGAGCAGCCAGCGGAGGGTGTCACTCAGGGCGTCGGCGTCGACAGGACCGATATGCGTCTGCACCACCTCAATCGCCAGATCCACCTCCGTGAGGCGCAGGTCAAGCTGCGCTCCCGCGGTGAACCCGACCCCCGTCACCCCACCCGTGAAGTTCACCAACACATCCAGCACCGCGATGGAATCGCCTGACGGAGAGGTCATCGTCAACCCCACAAAGCCATTCGGCACGTGGAGAGTGACGGCCTGGCCAGACTGTAGAAGAACAGATGGAGGCGCTGTTGAGTCAATTGAAAATACGAAGGGGCAATCAGGGCACAATTTGTACGCGTCCGGATAAATGTACTCAATGAGGGATGAATTGTACTCGGACGGCAGCCGTCTGCTTTGGTTGAACACGCCGCTGCGGCTAAGCGAAGTGAGGAGGTCGTTCAAGGCGAGCTCAGTGAAGGCGGCTGCCAGATTTCGCCGCGGCATCACTGGTGCCGCCGAGGTGGGCGGCAAAGGCAATACAAAAAACGGCAGCAGCACCGATGGGGACACCAACTTCGCCTTGGACTCATGAATGGGGTTCATGGCAAGCATCATCCTCTCTGCTGAAATGCTCGGATCCTCCACAAACGTGACCGGCAACGAGTCGAAGAAATCATTCGCCTTCTCTTCTACGAGGGTCCCAACCGTGTCGGGCAGCTGCTTCTTCAGCGCGTTCCCAATGGCCCGGTCGAGATCGCCCAAAATGATCTCAATGAGCTTTTCAATGCCGTTGCACACACTTCCCACAAGCTTGTGCTTGATCTGTAGATTTCCCCACTCAATGGTGTTTGCCGCCGTCTTCAAACGAAGTGTACCGTTCGACAGGCGGGAGACCTTCACCGAAAGCTCGGCGCCGGTTACATCAGCGAAGGCCCGTACCTCCCCATCGCACGTGAGGAGTCCTGCCTTGATGACAAACGCGGTGTCAGGGATGGTAACGTTCATGTCCCGCAGCGATAGAGCGAGTTGATTAGGGCTCCGCATCGCGAAGGAGGCGCCCCCCAGCCCAAACTCGGTGAAGTGAATGGCAGCAACGTCAAACTTGTCCGTTTGCTGCGGGGGGATCGTCAGGTTCAGCACAAGCCGCTGGACCAGCGGAAGCGCCAAGGGAATGGTGTTGGTGAAGAACGCCTCCTCCGCAGCCAGAGTGATGTTGGCGACATGAAGTGGCGACCGCGGGGACGCACGTGGCTGCCCGACACGCAGCGCGGGAGACGCAGCGACGCCCGCCGCCCCCTGCATGGGCGCCACGAAGAGAAGGAGGATGAGAAACAAAAACCACGGCGCGCGGTAAGTAGATGACACCGCCGCGCACATTTACGCTTACTAATGCCTGCTGCCCCCCTTGCGGTTCTGCGCGGGCGCAAGGAGACGGGCAGTTGGCAATTGGGCCACGATGAACGGCAGAAAAGACCGGGAAAAGCGCAAATCGTGCGGGGGAGAAGAGAGAGCGGTACGGAAAAGCAAGCGAGAGTGAGGGGCACCGCAGCACACACACACACGCACACGCACGCAAACACGCACCCCCACAAGAAAGAAAAGATACCATTTAGGGAATTGCCTGCACGCCATGCGGCACCGGCCCAAGTCGTGGGTCGAAGAGACACAGCAGGGGGGCGCGGCGGGGCGGGGTGGAGAAAAGGTAAAGCAACCAGAATGTGTTTTTTTCAGGCCCCTCGCAGCCAGTCACGGCAGTAAAAGCACAAAAAGAAAACCGGCGGTGGAGCTCCACGGAGTCCGCGTCCGACGCGAGAAGGAGGTGCATGGGTGAAAATGGTTTTTTTTTAAAAAAAACGAAGACAACAAAAGAAGAAAAGACGGAGAAAAACACTCACGCCCCACTCCGCCGAGGCAGCAAGGGATGCTCGCCCCCGTAACTTCGACGCGCAAATTCCGTCTGTGGCGAGTAGCGAAGTCCCCTACCGCGTACAGTTATTTCGCCATTGGAAGGTCCTGAGAAACGCAGCAAGAGGTCGACTAACGCGGCGTCCTCGGCAAGCAAACTGGGAATGCTCACACTGGATGTCATTTCGACGCCCCTCAGAGCAGCCACCAGGCGTCGCACCAAGTCCGAAACTACTCGCAACGTGTTATCCTGCGAAGCTGGTTGGTTGTAGTCCTCCACGAGGACAGAATGCTGCGGGTGCAGCTGAATGGAGCGTGGGCTGTTATCGATCATCAGTACGCGGTTCACCGCTCGGCCGAGGGAAGAGAGGTCCTTCGCGCCGTCTCCCTCCCCGCGGTACCACTTGTCATGGCGACTGATGACATGGTGGAACCAATCCGTTCGCTGCGATGCCTTCGCCACGGCACGCACAACCGTGTTCACGTGCGACGGCACCCCCGCGGACCACACCACCACTTCGCAACCCTCCGTGTGGCAAACATCTAGGAATTCCTTAACGTAGGGTCGAGGATGCACGCACTCTCCGCGCGCCTGCACCAAGGTTTCATCCAGGTCCACTACAATGCAGAGCGGGGCAAGCGGCAGGCCCCTGTCACACGGCAGTAGTGCCTTGGAGCGCCAACGACGGCATCGCACGCCGCCGTGGTTGGGGAGCATCGCCTCCGCAAGCGTCAGTCCCGGTTCGAAGAGGGTGCCGGAAGCCGCGGGCCGAGATGGCGGCACAGAAAATACTTTTCGTGTCTCGCCTACCCGGCCGTCTTTTCTGCGACGCGAGCAGTTCAGAAAGGGTTTGGCGGCGTGGAAGATAGCCATGTGGTTGAACTCCTCCACCTCGTCGTCGTCCTCCTCGCTTTCCAGGAGGAACTCCTGAATGACGTCGTTGATGACGTCAACCTCGGAAAGGACGGAGCTCGCCTGCTCCTCCCCGTCGCGGATGCCGTCGGTGGTGGCGAGGCAGGCGGCGAGGCAAAGCTCCGTGGCGGCGACAGACGCTCGCACCCGCGCGGAACTTCTCAACCGCTGCCTGTTATGTGGCCCTCGCACCGCCGACCGCCTGCGGGCCCCTCGCCGCTGCCCGGCGGCTCTCCCGCCGTTGGGTGACGCAGCCGGACGCGCGCGCCGTGCCCGTCCAGTGGTCATCGCAAAAGGCCTCCGGGTGTTCGTAATGCCTACGCGTTCCAACTAGCACCGTTCCCTTTTCCGCCCGTACATACTGCATTCTCAACAGAGGAGAGAAACACATTATTATTGTCGTGAGTTTTTTTTTATTTGGTTGGTTTCGGGGCCCACAAGAGCAGCAAAAAACAACAACAACAACAACAAAGAGAGATGAGACATGCCACACACGCACAAAGTGAGTGAGTGAGTGAGTGAAAAAAATTGGGGGGTTATAGAGTTAGCGAGACTAGGCGTCAGTTGCCTGCAATTTGTTCTCCTCTCCAACCCCTTCACGGCCCCAAGAAAAGGAAAGAAAAGAACGGCAAAGTGGAAAATATCCACGCATATCCGTTCATTTCCTCCTTGTTTTCGTTGTGGGTGCCCTCCCAGAGAGACACACACGCACACACATTTCGGTAATTGCCGCCTCTGTACTGTCGCTTGTGTACCCGCGGGGGGCACTTGTGTCGGTGGGTGTGTGTGTGCGTGACTCATTTGGTGAAGATGCCCTCCTCCTCCAGCTCCCTCCGCCGAATGCGCTCATTCCTCGCCTCGATTTTCTTCTGGTCCTCCGTCGCCACATCGTAGGGGTTGCCGCGGATGCGGTAGCGTGGGTTGGTGGCGTTCACCTTGCAGAGCGTCCAGTTTCGCCGCTCGAGGAAGCACTCGTTGGCCGAAATGCAGTCCTCCACGCTTCCCTTCTCCTCAAAGCACTTTGTGCCGACGATGCACTCTATGAGCGCGTTCTTGGGCCTCCAACAGATACTCTTGCGCTCCTTCTCCATCGCATTCTACCCGGCCGCTGCCGGCGGCAAAAGAAGGAGGAAAAAGGCGACAACGCTGAAATGCAAAGTAGGCGTCGATGGCGCAGGTGGAGGAAAAAAAAAGGGAGAAAAAAAAAAGCACACCACCGCCGCCTTGCCACTGCAATTCCCACCACCACCACCACACACACACAACATAAACGCACACGCACAACGTCTCTACATATTTGTTTCACAACGGCCCCACAGCACAGCCCGAGGGAGGGAGGAGGGAGAGGGAGGAAAGAGCTCCTTCCTGGCGACACAAAGAAAGGGGCAACGCAGTCATGTCCGCTTCACGCTTCGCGGATTCTCGGTCTTTGTTTCTTTTTTGTTTTGTTTTTCCTTTTTGTTTGTTTCGCGTTTCAAGCACACACACCCCCCCCCTCCACTCCTCGTTTCCCACTTCTCCCCTTCGTTGCTGTGGCCAGGCGGCAACTCGGCACGGAGTCGCTGGCGTGCCGTGTGCGTCCTCCCTCCCTCCGTGCCGCCGGGCCTACGCAGGCGTGGAGGGCGATCGCCTTGGCCAGAGCACCTCCGTGGGGGCCTTGGGGAATATGACGCGCACGGTGGTTCCCCGCCCTTCGGTCGTGTAGAGGTCCATTCTCCCGCCCCAGAGGTCCATGTAGCACTTGGACGCGGGCAGGCCGACGCCAAAGCCGCCCATGTAAGTCTCCAACGAGGAGTTTGTCGTCCAGCCGAAAAACCAAAGCTTCTCCGCACCATCGGCGCTGATACCTCCCGCGGCATCCGTCACGTCCACTACAACGTGTGTGTCATCCGCGGCGAAGCCCACATGCAGCTCAATATCGGTTGTTCGTGAACGCATCGCCATGCAGGCATTCTTCATGAGCTCTCTAAACACATACTCCAAGTGCCCCTCAACCGAGTAGATCACATCCGAAGATGGCGCGGGTGCCATGGGGGCCGAGGGGCACGCAAGGTAATCAAGGTCGCTTGAGGTCGCTAGTCGTCCACGCGGGACGCGTGTGAAAAGGTCGGGCTGCTCCTCCATGTGAATCGTCATGGAGCCGCCGTGGATGGATTGGATGCTGCTTGCGTACTGCTCCGCAACAAAGGTGCCGGAGTGCTGCAAGATGCTCCTCATGTCATGGTCCTTCCGAATAATCGGTGAGTACCGACTTGGCTCAACGAGGTGGAGAAGATGCTCGTGGATGACACGCCAGGAGACGCGCCGTCGACAAAAACACGAGAGCCAGTTGTTAAGATCCTGTGAGCGAATCCACTGTTCATTGACGACGATGTCAAACAGGTTGTCGTGGGGCCGGAGCTTCTCCAGGACGTCAATAAAACGCCCCGCCAAAGCGTCCGCGCCACCACCCTCGTCAGTGCCGTGTTCTTCGCTCTTCATGATGCTTTCGACGCGCGCGTCATCGCCAAGTTCATTTGGAACAGGTATGCTTGTCTTGCATATCTCGCCGCGCTCTAGCTTGCGCAGGTAGACGGCCGCCAGCTCGCTTAACTCCAGACAGCGCTCAAACTCCCTCCTGCAGATCAACTCCAGCGGCGACAGCCGTGCGCCGATTTCCCGGTCTAAACTTCCCTTGCGCACCTCACCCACAATGTCACGATAACTGCGTGCGGTGCGTGCGCCCAGCTGCTTCACCGCGGTGTGGACGTAGCCCCTATCGGTTTCCGCCAGCGTGCGCAGATTAATGGACCGGAGAGGCGTGGCCAGGCATTTCTCCAAGTGTTCTCGCAGGGCCTCGCAAGGACGCCTGGGAAGTGACATGCCATCCCTGTTGTATTGACCAAGAAGAAGGCAAAAAAGAAAAAACGGCAAAGAAGAAAAACAAAGGTAAAAAGAGAAACAAATATATATATATATATATGGAATAGGTGAAACATCAGTTTGCCCCTTTTTACCGCTCCTACCTCACAGGGCCCCTGACGCTTATTGCCGAGGTCACGGCGGCAGAAACATGACCGCAAAGGAATACCAGCGGTGCGCATGGCGCAATATACATACAGGTAGGAGTGACTCAGACCCTTTTCCCACAGCACCAACAGTAGCAGGGAAAAAGCAGCTCCCACAGATGCCCACCGCTGAGTCACTTTCGTGTCAGCGCGGCTTGCTGACGGTGTGCCGCCCTGCCTTCTTCTCGGTCGCGTGCCATCTGCTGTTCCTCTTCCGCCCACAGCCGCACTTCATCCGCCAGGTGCTGCTCTGCCAAAAAGTCTCGCCACTCCGAGGTCCGGCGGAACCGCCCCTGACACTCCGCTCTTCGCCGCCCCCTCTTTTCCTCAAGCACTAGTTTTTCTATTCCAAGTATCCACTGGTCAATGATCGTCTCGCGCATCCCGTCGTGAAGCACACACAAGGCAGCTCGCTCCTTTTCTTGCTGCTCCTTTAAGGCCAAACGCTCCTTGCGTTCCGCCTCGGCGCGGAGCAGGCTAGACATGGCGATGTTCGCGGAAATCAGCTCTCCGTCAACACGGACGTACGGGGAGGCTAGTTGCCTCGCGGTGGTTCCGGCGCTTTGGGAGGTCCCCGTCGCCTTGACCGTGCAGTGCCCCCGCGCCTCCTCGCCGGCGGCCTTCTTCTCCTCAACCGCGAGTTCGTGGCGGCAGTACAGCAGCGTGCAGTCCGCCAGGTGAACCCCGGCCGCCTCCACATTGCGCCGCATGTTTCGCCGGTTGTCTCGCGCCTTCCCCCCGCGTGATGCGAGAAGAAAAAAAAACAATAGTAATATTAATAATAAAAGGGAACCCACCACGGGCGGGGGAAACGAGCTGTCACAGCAGACGCAGACGCACACAGTGGGCGGGAGAGAAGGGAAAGGAGCTCAACGGGAAACGGAACGAAGAACACCTCCTTTGTTTTTTTTTCTTTTTTATTGATGTGAGCTTTCCCACCTCCTGCGCCGCCCCGCAGGCACACATTGTTGTCGTCCAGCTACAGAGCAGCGGTGGTGGGGAGGAGGGAGGGGAGAACGACACCCTCGCCGTGGCGACGCCTCCCCCTGAGCACCAATATAAAACGGAAAAAAACAAAACCGACACCCACACGCGGAGAGAGAGAGAGAGAGGGAGAGACGCCGACGCATGCACGGCTATCAAACCCTCTTCCCACGGAGACGCCTCTCAACATTGAAGGAACGGGTCGTCATACCCAGCCCCGCATTTCGACGGGTGACACAAAACACTCGTATTTCCCGCCCATTCAGCGACGATTCCGCGTACATCCCTCAAAGCTTCCTCCGCCAAGATGCTTTTCGTTGAAAGCGCAATTTGCCAGTAGGCGGTGCCACCCGCCGCGGGTTTTCGCTGGTCCACGAGTAGCTCAATGTCCAGCGGGGAGGCGCCGTAGTACAGCTCAGCGGCAAACCTTCTTGACACCTCCACCGAATCTGTCGCCACCATCTGCAGAGACGCAGACTTCGCGTTAAAGCCGGGAAACAAGGACTGCAACTCTGGGAAGGTTGTGATCCTGTCACGATCCCTCGTCAACACGTCAGCCTGGTAGAGAAAGGCCCGGCCGCCGCGGGTGTTAATCGCCGTCACGTGATACGAGACCTTCTCGCTGTCCACGTTGGGCAGCGCCTCCATGGAGAGTTTGCGCTCCGGTCGACAGATACTGTGCTCCAGGTACCGCAGCCGCCAGAGCCAGTCCACGTCCCCCGACTGCCGCAGTAGACGAAACCCGGATGTCAGCAGCGTCTTCTGGTGGGTGTCAAAGACGTCAATTCGCCACGTGGCGTTTGCCGCCGCCTCCGACGGCTCAGCGTGCACCCCATGACTCTTTAGGGCGGCGACCAGGTCACTCACAAGAGTGTCGTGCTTCCCTGTCGTTTGGGCGTACACGCTGTATGCGGCAGCGTCCGCCCGCGTCTGACAGCTTGTATCCTCCTTCTGGATGGAGACAATCAATACGAAGAACGCAACCACGATGACGGAAAATACCATGAGGAAGCTTGCTATGCGATGCTGCATCAGCACCAGCTCGCGGTGGTTATGTGCCGCCGGGTGCTCTCGACTGTGCCCCATTGACGCCCAGTGGTTAGATATTTCAACCTCAAACACGAACTACGCCACAACCGACAGGAGGGTGAAGAAAAAACAACAACAACAACAACAACAAACTTGGACTCCCTGCGCGAGGGGCGGCAAGTGACGTCGGCGGTGTCAGGGTGCACCCAGGCAACGAAACGTGCCACGTTGTACGCACGCACGCACGCACAGAGAAAAAAAAACACACCTGCGAAAAACAGATGCGTGTATACATGGGGCCCTACATACTGCGTGTCGGCGTGTTCCCTTCTCAGCAGCGTCGGGCGGAGCAGATGCGTCGGCGCTGCGAAGATGCGGAACCCCACCAACACCAAGAAACAGAGGGAGAGGGAAAGCAGAAGAAACAGGGCAACTTGGATGTACATCAGTGTTCTGCCTACCACATCGTTGGGTGTTCCCGGTTGTCTTTTTTCTTTTTTCTTTTTTTGATGCGGGCTGCCAACAAAAGACGCAAACAAATAATAATTTTAAAAAAAAATGAAAAAACTGCACGGAGGAGGGGGGACGTGGCAGTAAACGCAGAACAAGAAAATATATATATATGTCTCGCCGTCATCGCCCCACCTCCCGCCCCCTGTTGACTTATTTCCTTTTCTTTTCTTTTTTGCCTTTTTTCTTCGTCTTTTCGGCTTCTCACGGATTCAAGAAAAGTAGCAAAATACAAAAAAAAGAGTAAGAGACAAACGGGGAGCAGCGCAGGCGCCACAACGGATTTTGCTCTATCTTACAACGAGGTTAGTCGTCCGAGTCAAGGATAACGGCCACAGACTCCAGCGTCCAGATGGAGGAGTGGGCGTCAGTCGCCAGGTCGGCCTCAAACACCAGACCCACGCCGGCCGCATTGCGACGGTCAGAAGTCACGTAGACCGGGGTTCTAAACGTAGACACATTTTTGACCTTGGACAACTCTGTGGGAATGATATGCATCACGGGCAGCTCAGAGATGAGTTCCTTCTTTCGTTGGGGTGCCAGACAATGCTTGCGCAGGTCCCACCTGGCGCCCTCGATAAAAAGTCCGCTCACGTACGCGCCGTCCTTGGGGCGCTCCTGCACATCCTGCGCGGTCGCGTAGGAGGTCAACGTCGTCACCACGGCGGAGCGGTCCAGCGGCCACTTATAGCGTCTGCAAACCACCTGGACAAGGGCAGAAATGTAGGACTCCGGCACCATGAGGCCTGACATCCACATGCATCGCGGCTCGCCATTCATGGCCCAATCCGTGTACTGCTTGCACCGCCGATGGAAGTGGGCTAGCCAACGACCCAAATTCTTTCGCGTGGCGGGCGCCAGTTTTCGCCAGGAGGCGGGCAACTGACCGTTGTACAGGGAAGAGGCAAGGTCATCCAAGTCACTACTCATACCAATGACGCCTGAAAGAGCCTTCTGTAGCTCTTTCAGGGACAAAACCATGGCTCCCACCAGTCGATTCCAACGCTCTATTTCCTGCAACAAGACGACTTGGGTCGGCTGCAGGTTACTGTACCCCTTCTCTTGTGCCCGCTCCTTTTCCTTCCTCATAATCCGCTTGCGGTCCAAGGTCTCTGGTATCTGCGACAGAATGTCTTCAGTGATCTTTAGGAGAACCTCCTCCCGTGACTCTCCACCAACTGCCGCCGCTCTCCCAGATCGCGGCATAAGCTCTATCAAACTTGCCCACATTCCTAGGGCCGCATTACGCAAGTAGCCGGTCTCCGCATTCGGGTGCAGTCCAAATACCTCGGGCGTGTTATCCTTTGGGAAGGACTCCACGTGGGCCACCATCTGCTGTAGCGTGACTCGCTTATTTGGATCGGTGCTGTCGGCAGGAAGACAGTAATTCACTTCGTCGTTGACGTAAAAGTGAAACGGCTGAAAGGTGTCAAAAAGGAAATCACCAAAGTATTCCTCCAAGTACGTCTTGACGATGCGGCGGTCCATGCTGTCTGTCACACGGCCGCCATACATCGCCTCACCCACGAGGTAGCGCAGGGTGTCCCACGGAATCGGATCATTATTTCGGAACGCCTTTGTCAGGTAGGTGTCAAGCAGCCGCATCGACACAGAGAAGTCGGTCTCGTTAAAGTCGTACACCACGTTCCATCCGATTCTGCCATACTTGCGTCTTTCCTGCACCACGGCATGAAAAAAGGCAAGGACAAACACCAGTGGCCTAAACGCGGGGTGTAGGCAGGCATCCAGTTGCTCCTCGGTGACCTTCGAGAGCGTGTTTTTCATGTTCATCTTAAGCCCGTTTGGCGGCTCATTCACAACCTTCAAGGAGCGCTGCAGAATACCCATTGGAAAGTCCTTGGTAGGCTCCGTCGTGAGCCAAAGTCGAAATTCCTCCTGCGGCGGCGTCTGGTCCATCCGCTCAATCACCTTCTCGAGTTCCTTCATCCACTTTGTTAGCAGGTGGCAGTTCTGCAGCAGAACCCACTGCCCCCGCAAGGCACCCACCTCCACCAGCTTCATGGCCTCCTCACCCTGCCCCTGGCCGAGCGCGATGGAGCGGAGTTTTTGAATCCCCACCTCCTTTGTCGCCAGCTTCACAATCTCGTCCGTCGGGTTGGCGCCCGGGGACACAATACACACAATGGGGGCTGTGGAGGAGCTCTTGTCGAGAACGTCCTTGTAGCGCAGGATGGGCGGAATGACGTAGCGCTCGCCGAGGAGGTCGCAGTTGCTGATGAAGTTTGTGGCGGCTGTGTAGACGCGATCGCCACGGAAGCAGCGAAGCAGACAGAGCAGCTGGAACTCGCTGAGACGTTCACTGTAGCCGCACGGAATGGTGCTGCTTGGGTCCTCCGGGCGATCCAGCGAGAACCAGTGGTGCCACTCCTCCACGTTGTTTGCGACTTCCTCGCAGAGGTTGGCAAACACCTCCGACGTCGTCGCCAACTTGCAGATGTCGTTCCACTGCCGCTCCGTCAGCCACTCAGCGGGGTTGGGTGGATAATTCTTTGCCGCCAGCACGCATCCGCGCAGGAAGAACTCCAACTCGTTGTGGTCCATGCGATTCTCCTGCGTAAGCAGGCGGATGGCCATCTGGAAAGAAAGCATAAGCTTGTCCTTTTCAAAGATACCCATGCACACGTAGCAGTAGAGGTTATAGGTCAGGGCGCGAATGATGTTGTTGAGACGATCTTTGATCTCAAACGAGGCGTCGCTCTTCGTGATGGAGTACCCAAAGACGTCGTGCAGGAAGGCGGAAAGGGAGTACTCGTACATGGAGTTGATCACGGACAGCTCGGAGATGACAAAGTACAGAACCGCCCCACGTCGAGCCGCGGGGCGGTACTCCTGTCGAGAGATTTCCGTGACACGCGCCGTCTCCTTTGCCTGTTCCAGCTTCTGCTGCACCTCCGAGGCGCTGTTCTTCGTGTTCTCCAGCGTCGCAATCAGCTCGTCGTTGTCGAGAATGTTGCCTGTGGCCAGCGTCAGCTCACGGATCAGGGTGTCCTCCAGCTCCTTCAGCTGCGCACGGCTCTCCGCCATGGTCTGCACGAGCTCCTCGCTTTGCCGCTGCAGGTCGCTACGCTCGCTTGCCACCACGTAGTTGAGCAGCTGACTCTCAAGCCCGTCCTCCGTGACGCCGTAGTTGATCACGATTGTTTTGCCAAACACCTCCGCCGCGTACTCCGGGTTGGGCAGCTTGGTGCAGAGGTAGAGCTTGAAGTTGGGGTCCCAGACGACGTCCTTGTCCCCGATGCGTATGACGCGCTGCCCGGAGTCCTCGCGGAACTGCGGGTCCAGCACGGAGTCTATGATGGGGTCAATAAACTCGTCGACGCCCTCAAACAAAAAGGGGTTGCCGTACTGAATGGCAAACTCCAGCCGCTTCAAAAAATCGGGGTCGGCGAAGGAGGCACATTCAAATCGCGGGTTTGACTTGTGTTGCCGCTTGATCCAATTCACAGCCTGCATTTGTGGGTCGATGCAAAGCGGAAAGCGCACCCGCCCAGATTTTCGTCCCATGCCGAGACCCTGCGTGCTCATCGTTGTGAGGATGCCGTTTTGCACGGAGAGGGCATCCACCGGCAGGCCGTCGCTCGCCCACTGGGAGACGGAGACCTCATCGGTGAGGAGGTGCTGGATCTGGAAGTCCTCGGTGAGTGGGATGCCCCGCTCACGAATGTCCTTCAGCCACAGCGACTCCAAGGCCTCCTGCCGGTACTGGAAGGTGAAGGCCCCAAGATAGGAGATAAACGCGGCACAGGCAAGACAATCCCCAACAAGGCGATTCCGCACATCGGCTAACGACCCCTTTTGCTCCGCCCATCGCACGCGTTCGGAGCCAAAGCCATCGAGTAGTCGTCGGGCGGCGTTCAGCCGTCGCTCCATCACGGCCTTTTCCTGCTGCAGCAGCTGGGCCTCATGCATGCCTGCGTCTAGCCGCTCCTGGAGCCGCTTAAGACTCACGGTGAGCTGCTCAATCTCGCCCTGGCACGCCGCCAACTGGCGCTCAGCGTTTGCCTTCGCCTCCTGCAGTTCCCGCACCCGGGCCTGCTTGGGCAGCACCTCCTTCGCCGTGTTCCAGTAGGCCTTCATCGCCTCCACCCAAATCATCAGGCCCGAGGCGGCCAAACTCACCTTCTTCAGGTCGTTGGAGTTGACCGGAAATTCCTTGAGAATCTTGTTGATCTCATTGATCTTCCCCTGATTCAGCGTCGAGGCGAGGGAGTCGATGTCAATGAGGGAGCGAATAAAGTCGTTTTGCCCCATCATAATCTTGCCGGAGTCCCACGTCGCCGGTACGCCCTTCACGACACACACCATACGCACCACCGCCACCACACTGACGGGGGGCTTGGCGAAGGACTTTAACTCCGTGATACTCTTTGGGTTGATGTGCTTCACCGCCTCCATCGCCTCCTCAAGGGCAGGCATGGCAAGGTCGAGCACCTCCTGCGCCTCCGCACTCTCCTTCTCAATCTCTGCACTTTGCACGTTGAGCGCCTCCTCCATGCTTAGCGCCTCCACCTTGCGTTTTTCATTGCGCTCCTTCTGCTCCTTAATCTCCCTTGTCATGCGCTCGTTAATCTCCTGCTTCTCACGCAGCGTCACCTCCTTCTCGGCGAGTTCCTCTTGCAGCGTCTTCACATCCTCCTGGGCTCGGTCGAGCTTCTCCAGCCCAATCGCAAACTTCTTCACCAAATCGTCAATCTCCTCCCGGCGGGTGATGAGCAGTCGCGAGTAATTGGCCAGAAACCCAAGGAAGTTCTTTGGGGTGACGTAGTTATGCCGCTTCAGCTCCGCCAGATACCGCGTGGAAAGTTCGTCGGCGGTGAGGTGCACGTACACGGCGTGACCCGCAATCGTCTCCTTCAGCTCCTCCGACACCTCCCCTCCCTGCAGCAGCCGTTGCCCAACCGCCTCCAGCGCCTGCGAGGGCCACTTCTGAAACCAGTCGATGGTCGTATTGTTGATGAGGCTCGGGAAGTTGCGGCAACGCGTGCGCAGAATTTGTCCAGAGGGACTCATCGAGAGCACCACGTGCAGGTTTTCGCAGCAGCGGGCGACAAAGGCCGTCCACTTGTTGTCTTTGGAGGGGGCCAGGCCTGCGGCCTCGACCTCCGCCGCCACGCTGGCGTACAGGGGCTCCTTTTCCTCCTCGGCAAACAGCGCGGGGACCATGCCGGAGGCCAACATGTTGTTGATGAGCTCCAGAAACCCCTCCTCCTTTACGTGGCTGTCCATGAACAAAAACACAACCTTCTCCTTCTGTAGCCCGACACGGGCGTACAGGCGCTTTAGGTCCTCGCGGAAGCCGTCCTCGTTGTAGTTGCGGGAGAGCACAACCTCAAAGACACCCATGCGGTACATCGCCGCCGCCAGTTTCGTGAGAGACTGCTTGCCGCTCCCACCAACGCCGATCAGGAGGCAGTTGCCGCGGGGAAGGGAGATGACGCGCGTGATGCGAAGCAGGTGGTCTAGTGCCATGTCAAACATCACCAAGTCCATCTTCTTCGTCGGCGAGTTAATCTCCTCCAGCATTGCCTCCACCAGCGCACGGGCCCTGTCGTACTCCGCCCCAAAGTCTTCGTAGATGTTCAGCCGCTCCACGTCGCTGTCCGGCTCAAAGTCACCAAAGTCACCAAACAAGAAGGGCTCCGCCAGGGCAAACTCCACCGCGTCTGGGAATTGCCGCATAACCTCATCCCGCGCGAGACGCGTGACAAACTCCTTGTCCGCGACGTCGGCCATGCGGTCAATGAAGACGCGGGAAATCTCATTGCGCCACAGCCGCACAATACTCTTCGCGTCCGGAAACATCTCTGGGGTTGCCCGACAGAGTCCCTCGTACACACGGGACAAATCACGCAGGTTAAAAATATAGTGAAACTTGGTAGGCGTCGCAGGGAGGGCGGCGAAGAGCTGCTGGTACAGCCTGAGTGTCATGGTCGTGAGCTGGTTCGGCAGGTCACCCAACTCCGACGCCATCGACTTGTAGGCGTCGCGCAGGATCTGGCCGTAGATGGTGTTGATCGACTCATCGGAGGGGAACAGGACGTTGAAGATTGTGAAGAGTGACACAAAGCGTGGGTCAAGGGCGTTGCGACCACCACCCGGCGGAGCCATCGCCGCTATAAACTGCGTGTCCCGCACACTTTTAAAAAGTAAGTCCTTTCGGTCGTACCAGGAATGGTGCTCCACCAACAGCTTCAGGAATGCGATGGGTTGCTGCGTGCCGTAGAGATCCACGCGGGGCATATTAATATCATCCACAAACACCAAGAGACGCTTCTTTGCCGGGGGCCCCAGCACGGTGTTGGTGCGCTTCTCAATGTTGTCCTCCATGGCCCGCTGTGTGTCAAGGCTAGTGGTGCGAGAGCTGAAGTTGATCTCCAGAAGCATCTCCTCCAGGTGCACATCCTCGTCCGCAGCGGCGTCGACCTCCTGCGAGCGCTGCTTCAGCTGCTTCAGGTAGGCCTGAATGGTGACCGTCTTCGCGGTGCCACTCTCACCCACCAACATGACAGGGGTCCGGTTGAGAACAATTTTGTTCAGCAGCCACATGCTTCGCTCGGTGTCCACCGTGGACACAAGCAGGGAGCCAAACTTCGCCCCTGGTGGCCGCTCAAACGGCTTCACGAGGATATGCCACGGTTTCCAACGGTTGTCCTCGAGGTCGAAGTAGTAGTCGTAGAGGGTTTTGCGCTCCGGGAGGGAGCCGCTGCCGACAAAGCGGGTGAGGAAGTTGTCACCCACATCCTGCAGGCTCCACCCGCTGAGTCTTTTCAGGAAGCCGTCGAAGCGGACGCGGTCCTCCGCTGTGGCGATTAAGGAGCCAAAGCTCCACACACAGCAGAACAAAAACACACACTGCAGCGCCTTTGGCTCTAGGGCCACATGCTGCGGGGAGACAGTGTGCAGCATGACGGTCAGCTGGCGGACCATGTTCAGGTCATTGTTCGGGATCACCAGCTTTGGCGGGGCCGTCACCGTGTCGCCGTCAATGCCGTCAAACATGAAATTGAGGAGCGGCTCCACATATTTGTCCACGAGCTCGTTGAGGGTGTCTAGCTCGTCGCGTGGGCGCTTCAGCTTCCAGGAGTACATGAAGGGTTTCCATCCAAGATTCACGGGGTCAACGAACACCATCCCCACGCGTGACACGGTGGCGGGCGAGGCATACTGTAGGTCCCCCACCTCAAAGAGCAAGGAACTCGTCGGTCGCAGACGAATGCGTTCTCCATTTGGAAGCGTAAGCAGTTTGTTGTCGTCCATGACAGAGTTCATGTCCTCCACCCACTTCGCATCGACATCGCCGTCAAAGACAACGTAGCGGCGCTCACGCTCGTCATTTTCGTGGGGGCGATTAATAGAACGGAAGATGTTAGAGAAAATGCCATCCGTCCAGCTTCGTGTGAGGGGATCCATGACACCGTAGAGGGCCGTCGTGGGCTGCGCCTTGGGATTGATAACGTAGAACTTCGTTAGTAGCCCCAGACTGGTCTGCGCCTTACAAAGGCAGTCAATCACAGTTGACTTACCACCTCCTGTGGGCCCAACAACCATCGACGTATGCCGTGTCTGCATCGTCTCGTACAGCTGCACCACCTTATCCACCTGTTTGGCGTCCACGTAAAACCCTTGCTCCTTGAAGACCCTGCTTGCGGCCTTGGAAAGGTTTTCCTGCGGTGCCCGCGTCGGGTCAAGGCCAGGAAACAGGTCGCCAATGAGACCTTTAAAAAGCGGCTCATCCTCAGCGACAAACTTTGGGGCATTCATGTCACGCAGCGCACGCATCAGCACCGACTCCTCGGATAGGTCAGGGGCACCACGTTTCAGTTGTCCTGCCATCACCAGCACCGCCTTTAGCGCACGCAGGCCCCAGTCGTAGTGGTGCTGCTTTGAGAGTTGTCCACGGGCGAGCTGGTACAGCGTCACCATCTTCTTGGCGAGCTCACGCGCCGTTGTGAAGCCCTCAGAAAAGAGCATGTTCTCTGCAATCAACTCCATGTCCGGCACAACCATCACCACCGGCCGAAAGAGAGCCTTGAGGTTGTCGGGTAACTCCACACGGCCGGCGTAGCCAGGGTTCATCGTGATAAAGACACCGACTGTCGGTATCAGCCGAATTGTGCTGTCGCCAAAGAGGAATTCCGAATCCCCGGCCTTCAGCGCACTTTGAATGCTGCGCAGCTGCTCAGACACCACGGAGAGCACGGGGAGCTCAATGCGGTTAAACTCATCAAAGCACCCCCACGACCCCGTTTGCGAGAGTCCAGAAAAGATGGTGCCCATCGCCTTGTAGTCCAGTCCCTCGCCACAGTTAAACACCACACACTGAATGGCCAGCGCCTTGGCAAGATCCTTGACGGACTCGGTCTTTCCCGTCCCTGCCGGCCCCCCGGGGGCCCCGCCAAGGTAGAAGGAGAGCGCCTGCGTCATAGTCATGAAGCAACGGTCTGTTAGCGGCGTGATCACAAGTCGACCATTCAATCCCATGTATTCGTAACCGTAATTAAAGCGACCTGTGCATTGTCGTATAATGCAGGTGTCTCCGTCACGCTCCCAGTAAAAGCGAAGCTGGGATTCCCAGTCAAACTCGCGGGCATCTGTGACGGAGTCGCGCACAAAGCGATCCACGATATCCCTCCCGTGCACGTCCATGATAATTAACGTGTTGACCTTCTTCGCGTACTGCTTCTCAATGTCTTTGTCCATCTCACCTACGAGGTCAATGAGTTGCCGTGTCAGCTTCCCCGATAGATCCTTCACCGAGCCTTTCTTTCCCTTCTTGAGGGCGTTAAAGGCGTCCTCAATCTCAAACGTCCACCAAATCTTCGCCCCCGTGAGTGCCACCATGCCATGGTACTTCTTTAGCCAGTCCAGGCGTCCCATGCGCGGGTAGTAGTAGACGCCCGCCTTGAGAATGTCACGCAGCGTCGAGCGTGACTCGTCCAGAACCTCCTGCAGCCAGTGTTCCACGGGGGCGCCCACGGTTGCCACCGGGCGGTCAAAGTTCACCACCTCCCCCTCCTGTGATTCCACTCCGCAGATGACTTCCTCCTCGCCCCCCTTGAAAATGAGGTAGGCGCAGTTGTCAAACATCTTCAGCATGTGATCCTGCACCGCCTTTGCACTGCTGGCAGCCAAAATGGAGAGCAACTCGTCGTCGGAGATAAAGTAGAAGCGGGGAAACATGCGCCGCTTTGTCTCAAGATAGTTGGAGAGTTCCTTCTGGCACTCCTCCAGCTTCTCCTCCAGGTAGCGAAACTCCTCAAGACGCCCCGTCACGTTGCAGCAGATGTCCACATTCGGCGCCGAGGTTGTCTCATTCATGATGCGAACAAACTTCTTGTCCAGGTCGTTAAACTTGGCGGTCTCCTTCGGAAGTTGATTGGCGATGTCGTCACTGCCCTTAAAGATGGATTCCAAGTACTGCCACTTCATCTGCACCGTAATCCACACAGCAATCACGTCGTTGATCATCGCCAGCTTCTTCTCCCAAATCTTCACGTCATCCATGAAGGGCTGCGCCCACTTCACGTTGGCGATGGACTGCATCTTCAAGATGTTGTCATCCACGGCCTCTTGAATATCGCTTGTGTCGCTGAGCACGCAGCAGCGGACGTCGCCCTTACGCGGTTCATACGGCACCGGTGCAAACTCCGCCTTTGACCAGAACTCCTTGACGGCCAGAATGTCCTTCTCCACCGCCTGCTCCCGCGCCGCGGTCACGATGATGGTGTCAATGGCGTCCGAAAACCGGTACAGCTCCATGGCAATGAAGTCGTCCAAATTAATTTGCTCAATAGAAAACTGTTTCCCTGTCACCCGCATGAGCTCCATCCAGTGACGCTGCTTCAGTGCCGGACTCTTCAGCTTTGCCAGCAGTGGCAAGGAGGAGTGGAAGTTCAAGATAACCTGCTGAACTTCTCTAAAGGGGTGCACTTCACTGTGCGTCTTGCCGAGTACGCGGGCCCGCTTTACCTTCTCATCAGTGGTGGTTTGAAGGTCCTCCAGAAGGAGATCCTTCCAGCTGCTGCGGTTCCACCGCTTCAGGATGGCGACCCACTGCTCGTAGAGTTCGTACACCGCCTCCACCCGCGTCAGCTCCTCGTTTAGCTGCTGCAGGTAGGTGTGACCCGTAAGCGGCAGGTCAAAAAGCTTCTCGGCCTTCATCAACTGATCCCGTTTCGCCTGCAGCTGCGTTAGATGCTCGCGCCACTCCTTCTTGAGGTTGTTGCCCTCCTGCAGGTCAATATTGGGCCGACCAGGACCTTTTTCACGGAACTCCTTCAACACGGACTTGCCCTTCTCAAGGAAGTTGGCCACCTCGGCGCGCGTGTACTCCCGGAATCGCAGCTTCTTCGGCTCCAGGTCCTCCTCCAGCTGGTGCAGCCGCGCGAGGGTGCACTCCCACAGGTCCTGCAGCGTTAACGCCTCCTTCAGCTCCTGCGGGTCCACCTTGACGCTGAAGTGCGTGATGGACTCGTAAATGTACCTGATCTCACTGATGTCCTGTTCCACGTCCAGGGAAATGGCACGGGTGTCATGCATGACTTCTAGTACAAACTTCAGATCATCAATGTTTTCACACGGCCGCTGCAAATCCTTATTCACGCGTATAATAAAATTCAAGCGTTTCTGCATGCGCGCGCGAACCGTGTCATTCATTTGTGCCCCCTCCATCGCAATCCACTGATGCACGTGCTCCACCAGCTCCGCATAGAAGGCACTTTCGTCGCAGCGCATAAACCCAAAATCGTGCATGTGTTCCTCGGCGTCAAAGTCTGTAATCATGTTAAAGTAGAGCTGAAATTTTGCGTCGTAGTCGATCCAGTGAAACTGATTCTTTGCCTGCTGCTCCACGGAAAGCTTCTTGTCGGCGAGGTAGATAAAACGGTAGCGTTGCAGCACCTTGATGTTTGTCGCAAGCGCAGATAAGTGGGTTTGAATGGTGCGATTTATGACGGCCTGAAGCTTGTACACCTGTGGAAGGCCGCTGATGTCCTTGTAGTAGGTGAAGAGTGTGTCCTGCTCCCCCTCGGGTGGCCGTGGCACCAGCTCCCCATGCGTGAACTCAATACACGTTCCCCGCATCCACCGCTGAAACCGCTGCGAGGACTCAATGATGCTGGACTGCACCTTGTGAAATGCACTCGTGATCTCCTGCTGCGGTGGTGAGAAGGTTGGCTCCGTCGTCAAAAATATCAGCACCTTGAAGAGCGGGGGACGCTTCGCGGCCGTGGAGGAGCCGCGGTAGCCCACCATCTTGGCGAAGGCCAGCAGAGAGTTTAGCACCATCCGCGTGAGCGCCTTCCAAATGCGCTGCTCCCAGTGCATGTAGTAGCTCTCCAGGATGAGGCACTTGCCTGTGTGTGTGCCCACCAGCTGACTCTCCATCTTTGTCAGGAGGGGCTTGGCGGTGCGGTACGCGCGCAGGCACGCGTCGACGAGGTCCGTGCGACGCCGCTCAATCGTGTCCACGAGGACCTGCAGCTCCGGCAGTTCCCCGCCAGCCTGAAGCAGCTGCTCAAACTCGGGGATGAGCTTTGTGGAGCCAATCTTGTTCACCACCTGCGTCTGAATGTGGTCCGCGCGCTTGCGCACCTCCCGGCTTAGATTACGGAACTTTGTGATGGCGCGCTCGCAGCTGGCGATGAAGTCCGGTATGCCCAAGCTCGTCCAGTTGATGTCGCGCATCCCCGGCTCGAGGGACAGCTTCAGCTCGCGAATGTTTTTGGCCAAAATAACACGCTCCGGACCATCCAGGGCCCCTTGTAACTCGCAGTTGAAGCTTAGCAGCATCGCCTTGAGCGCGTCCACGTTCGCGTGGTAGGACTCATCCTGCAGCGTGACATTAATGGCCTCCTGCGGCACTTCAAAGCCGAGGCGGTCAAGGTACTTCGCCTCGCGTATGATGTTAAACAGGGCGATGTCAAAGTTTGCGACGTACGTGTCCCCTGGCACCTTACGTAGAATGTTCATCTTTAGCGACGCCGTCGTCGTCTGCCGCACTCCCTCGGACCACTGAATAAAGCGCGAGGTGGCGTACTCCTTCATCTGCCGCGCCACCTCCACGTACTTTGCCCGCACCTGTCGCCCCATGGTGGTGGCCAGCATGCCCTCCCGCTGGAAGCGCACAATCGGCCGCTTCAGCCGCTGAAAGAGGGAGGTGCTCCAGTGAATCGCCCCCGCCACGGGAGGCTGGTTCTTGGTGAGTGGGGGATTGTCGCTGTGCTCAACGAAGATGCTCCGTACCCGCTCCACCTCGCTAAAGTACTGCGCCAGAATACGATCCGCCTTCTCCGACAGGAGTGAGGCGGTGTCAAAGGCCTCCCCGGCCCGCTGGGGACGGGAGGCGATGCCCTTAAAGGAAAGCAAGAGCTCAAAGGCAGACTCCGCGCTCCGCAGGTCATCGTCGAAGATTTTGTTGATAAACTCAGAGACCTCGTGGTCCAAGCTGGCGACGGTGTTGACAAAGTTGGAGTAAACCACCTGCCAGTTGTGCGTCGCCTTGCGCTCAAAGGGGTCGAAGGTGAGGGTCTCGAACGGGCGCTTGACGCGCTCCACGTCCTTCAAGATGCGCTCAATGCCGCTGGTGTCGGTGAGCACCGTCTTTAGCTGCGCCCCCAGCACCGTGTTGTAGTACTCCACCGTCTCTATAACCTCCAACAAGTCGGTGCAGCGGTCGGACATGTAGTCGGTGGTTTCAAACAGGCGCTTCTGGTTAAAGTTCCATGGCTGCTCACGCTCGCTGCTGTTAATCTCCTCCTGCACCGTGATATACGTGGATTTCCACTTCAGCAGGCACTGCTGTCCCTCACTCACCTTGGTCTTGGCCTCGGCAAAGGGCAGGCTGAGAATACTACGGAAATCGATGTGCTGCGAAACCTTTTGGGCGATGAGTTTCCCAACCTTCTCCAGTAAACCCACCATCCGCTCCTCCGTGCAGTAGTAGCGCGAGATAATCCACACCATGCGGATTCCTGTCATCATAGACGACAGCGTGTCAATGATCGGCTGAAGCGAGCCAGAGCCGGGCGTCACCCCCTGCAAGGTACGGAAATGGCGGTCCAAGGTGCCGAGAAACTTCACATTGTCCTTTGCCTCCGCGTACTGGCGAAAGAATTGTTGAATGGTCGTGGAGATCAAGTGGAAGGAGTTGCACTCCGCCTCCTTTGCCACCTTCAAGATGAACTTCGCCTGGGGTGAGTTGATCTGCTCGTACAGGGCGCTAATAGTACTATATTTTTCACGCCAGTACTCAATCTCCCCAAGCGGGCCTTCCTTCTGTGGGTCAAGCGACATGGCGTAGCTGATCTCCGCCTGCCACTGGGCAACGGTGATGTCAATCTGCTTAATAACATCCTCGTTGGCGAGCGCCGACTTCATTCCGGAGTCGGAGTAGCCCATCGACACCAACGCCTGCGGCATCGGAAGTCGTCGCTCCGCACAGACTTGATTTCGAAACCCGGTCATTTGCATATCGACACGCTGCACCCAGTTCAAAATCTCCGTGTAGACTTGCCGGTTTGTGACCTTCTTGGCGGCCAGCGCGCGGCCTCGCCCGACGGAGGCCACCACGTCCTCCACGATGGGCCTGTAGGCGTGCTCCAGCAGGGTGTGAAAGGAAGACAGCGAAGGCACGACCATGCTGGAAATCTCAAAGGCCTTGTGGATGGGGCAGCGGGGCTCGCTCCTCCAGTCGGCCACGAGCTCCTTGGTTAACTGTACATTGTCGACGCGGACAAAGAAGACGCACCTTGTCCGGTCGGGTGGGTAATTCGCGGAGCCGGTGATGTTGGAGTTCTTAATCGCCTGCGTCGTGGCAATCAGCTTCGGCGGCTGCCTGCGCTGCGCCGCCGCGGGGGTCTTGGCTGCGACGCCGCCGCCCTCCGTGGAGGTGCACTCGCTGGAGGAGATGACGAGGAGGCGCTCCCGCGGGTTCTCGAAGAGCTCTAAAATGAGGCCCCTGGCGGCCCCGTCGCCGTACAGCTCCGCGATGGAGTCCTCGCACACGCCGTAGAGGCAGCCCCGCACGCGGGCCGCAAGCCACGCAAGGCGCGGGTCCTCCTCCTCCTCCTCCTCCTGCGACCCCCGCCTCGTCTCGGCGTTTGCCGCCGTTGGGACTAAAGACGCCATCGCGACTGCTCGCTGTGGGAGTCGCGGAGGAAGCGCAGGGTGGGGCGGGGGCGGCACGCAGTGAAATCAAGTGGCGGTGTGAAGGAACAAAAAGCAAAGACTACAAGAAGGAATGAAAGCGTTCAAAGACAAATGAAGCGAAACAACAACAACAAAGGGAAAGGAAAAAAGAAAAAGCAAATACATATATGTATACATACGCGACCAGCCAAAGATGCCTGAGGGATTGTCCCAGTGTGTTGAGGGCATTATGCTCGGTGATGCAAACTCTCTCTCTCTCTCTCCCACGCACACACATACGGAAGCCGAAAGCAATTGAAACAAAACAAAAATGAAAAACGGGCATAGCACGTGACAACGTTGGGGGGGGGGTAAAAAGCGCGCAGGTAGGGGGTTGGGGAGCTGCAGTGGGATAAACCACATGCACAGATCCAACACAGATGCTCCGCAACGCCTCAGCATTGGAAAAAGTACAAAAAAAAACCACCGCCAACGACAACAACAACAGCACGACGCCGAGGAAGATTGAAGGCAAAGGGGACTAGAGACCTGGGGAGAAGTGCTGGCCGAGGGAAAGATCGTACAGAAACTTCTCGCTGGGGTCCGTCAGCACCTCATGGGCATGGTTGATGAGCTTAAACTGCTCCATCGCCGCCTGTTGCCTCGTCAGTGTCTCTGTCACCACTCGGTCAGGATGATATAAGAGAGTCAACTTCTTAAACTGCGCACGGGCCTCGGCGATACTCGCCCCGCGAGGGAGCTCAAGGATCTCGTAAAGCGTCTGTTTCACCCCCGAGTTGGGCACACGCTCTGTGCCCCGCGACGCCCCATTTTCTGCCGACGGGGACTCAGGCGGCGGCCCAGTTTCTGTTGCGAAGGCGTCGTACCACTTCGGCCGGCGCCTTGGAGCCCCCGGCCCGCTAAAGGTGGCTCTAGGAAACTCCGGCTGCGGCAAAAACTGCTCCTCGTCCCCGCGCAGGATGTGTCGCAAGGCCGGGTCCAAACGAACCGCGCTGAGGCGGTCTGCCGCTGCCTCGGCGCGCTGCCGTGTCTGTTGGTAGGCCTCCGCACGCAGGACAAACGCCCTGGCGCACTTGGGGTCCATCCAAAGCGCGGCGGCGCAATCCCTGATGACGTTCATGTTATTCCCAAGGCTTGCGTAGGCTTCGGCCCGCATGCAGTACAACGCGCCACACATCAGGCGGTTGGATTTGTCCAGCAGCAACCCCTCATGAAGAAGAGGAATGGCCTCGGCGTAGCGCTCCCTTGCAAAGAGCGAATTCACTCTCGACAGGATCTCCTCCAGGGAGACAAGGTAGTGCCCAAGCAGAAGTGCAGGGCCAAAGCTGGGGCTGATCGTCAGGCAGGTCTGAATCAGCGCCGCCGCAAGCTCCAAAAAGGCGCTGCCGCAGTACGCGCTCGCCTGGGCCAGCAAAACGGCGGCATGCAGGTAGTGCTCCTCCACCCCGCGCCAGGCCTCCTTCTCCTCCCAGGACATCTCGGTGTGGGCGGAGGCAGGTCGCGGAATAGTTGGCACGTACGACAAAAGACGCAACCTCGCCGTATTCGGACTCAAGTGCAGCAGAGCTCTCGCCTCCAATAGGAGTAGCGGCGTGCCGTCGATGAGCGGCTTGGCCGCATCCTTCACCCGCAACGCCTCCTCCCACCTCCGCCCCTTGACAGAGTCACGGAACTGCTGCAAGGCCGTTATTGCGCCAGATTCGGTGCACCACTTTACATTGTGAGGATCCTGCGTTGACGGCGCCAGCGCCTGCAGCGCGTAGGCGTAACATTGGCGCGCCTCCGGGTAGCGCTCACGCAGGAGCAAGGAACGACCATGAAGCGAGACAAGGTCCAAGTCGATCTCGCCTCCCTTGCGAGCATCCTCAATACATTCATCGTAGAGTAACAGGTGCCAGCTACACACGGCACGCTTGTAGTACGCTATCTTGGACTGCGGATTCTGCTGCAGCGCCCGCGTGAACGAGACGTAGGCGCCCCCGTAATCCCTCGACGCAAGCAGCCGCATGCCCCGCTCCTCGTTTTTTGTGAAGGAAATATTTAACTCCGGCAGACAGCCTTGCAGCATGCGCACAAGGCGTTTGCGATCGATGGCCTCGTTGGCAATCATAAGCCGCCTACATGCCCCCTCCTCCTCGCCGAACCGACGCCACGGCCACGCGCCACCCGTGGGCAGCGTGGCGGCGCCCCCCGCGGGGAGGCTTTTGCCCGCAGCCTTCGTCGCCCTGGGACGGTACGTGCACCCCCACCGCGCCTCCTCCCCACGACGACTCGAAAGCGTCCGCCCCGCGTCGCCCTTCCTCTGCGAGGCGAGGGGCGCATTGCCGAGGCGACGGGCCTCGTTCTGTCGGGAGCGCCTTTCCTCCCGCTCTATCCTCGGGAAAAAAGCACAGCTGCTCCGAGGGGATCGTCTGTGCAAAGTCCTTCTGCACGACACGTCGGCGCATTCTAAGCACACCCACCCAACCCACACACAACTGCCGCAAAACGCCGCGGCTTGTGACGCGTGAAGGAAAAAAAAAAAAAAAACTTGCCTCTTGCGCCGGCAGACCGCCCCGCTTGCGGAAGCCGGCACCGATTCCCCGCCTCCCCCCTCCCCTGCTGGTCGGGTTCCCAACACGGACGGAAGTATGGCTGCCGCAAGGCCAAGCCGAGGGAGGAGGAAAAAAAAAAATGTCAACAATAACAGTAGTAACAAAGCAAGGAGAGAAAAGGCAGAGAGAATCCAACGAGCAAACACGTCAAGGGGGGGGAAAAAAAAACAGAAAACGAAGACCTCCGCCAGGCACGCCACCTCTCACACTAGAGACACGAGCATGCCAACTCCAGGCATCTCCTCATCAACCATTTTTTTTCTTCTTCTTCTCTTTTTATCCTTTGATTTTGTTTCCTTCCTTCCTTCCTGTTATGAGGTCCCGCAAACATGGCGCCTTGCGGCGTCCTCGCGGCTACCCTGTCGGCTGAGCCGCTGCCAGAAGTGGCCCACACTGCAGCGATCCTCGCATTTGGGGTGGGGAGGAGGATGCGGCGTATGTGTGCCGTCGGCCGCACGCCGCTGGAGACAAGTGGGTGCCCCGCCAGCTTCGCGTGAGGCCCGCCGTTTCTGCAGGAGCGTCCTCCTTCCCCGACCGTCTTTACTCGTGTCCCCGCTTCACCGCCCGCCGTGCGCCGAACCCCTTGCCGTTTCCTCTATCGTCCAGCGCGTTGGTCACCACCTGCCCCGCCTTCACCAGCGCCGGGCTGGTGCGCAGGGCGTCGGGGAGCTGAAAAAAGACAATAGAGGCGCCCCGGACAAACACGCTCTTCATCTCCACCGTGCGCCCCGACCTCACCGTCTTCTTCGCGGCCGTGAGCATGACGTTCATGTTGTCCTGCACCTCGCTCAGCGTGCCCGTGTAGAGCTCCCCGCTGGACACCTCCAGCGAGATCGTCGTGCCGATAGCGTCGAACAAGACCTTCAGCGGGATGCTGAACGTGCTCATTCTCTAACGGGCGGCGCAAACAAAACCGAAGAAAAAAAAAGGAATACTGCCCCCACACGCACATACGCAACAAATAACGAAATAAATTTTTTTTAAAAAAAGGGGGGGGGAGAAAGAAAAGAAGGAGCAGGTAAAGCAGCGGAGCGGCCGTTCCCAGGGATGAAGAACAGATAGAGGCGGAAGCAGAAAACCCCCTGAGAAAAGGGGGGAGGGAAAAAAAACAAAAGGAAAAGAAGAGGGGGGAAAAAAAACTCATTTACTTTCCGTGCATCACCTCTGCGAGGGATCGCTTGCTGTGCCACGCAGCAGCGGCATCTCGTCGTGCCACCACCGCCTCGCTTTTCGCCGCCGCTCGAGACACGGCCACCTCCTAAATACCTCAGAAGACTCGACCAGAGACACCGTTGAGCGCCGTGCGATCGTGCGTGTCCAGAATTTGATAGGCAATCGAGGCCAGGAGAGAGCCGCCCAGTGGTGCGGCCCAATAGATCCAAAAAAAGATCAGTGGCTTGCATTTCCCGCCAATGCAGCCAACCAGTTGCGTGCCCGTGGCCACGGCAGGATTAAAGGCACCGCCAGTGAACCCACCCACGGCAAAGGAGGCGGAGAGCACGGTCATGCCGATCGCAAACCCGTAAAACTCGTTGCCCCGCTGCCTAGAGTAGTTCACATGCAGCACCACAGAGGCCAAGGCGAAGGTGTACACCATCTCGCACAGGAGGGCCTGCCACACGCTCACGAGAGAGACATCCGTCGAAGGAACAGGAATATCGAGGCCAACGATGGCAGAGCCGTACAGGGCCGCCAAAAAAGCAGCCACAATCTGTGCGAGCATGTAGAACAGCGCCTTCTTTAAGGAAATCTTGCCGTTGATCAACGTGGCAAAGGTGACGGCCGGATTAAAATGAGCTCCACTAATGTATCCAAAGGAGAACGTCATCGCCGCAAGCATAAAGCCAATCGGCAGTGGGGCTAGCGATCCCACACCCAGCGAGGCCAGCGGGATGGTTAACACGAAGAGGAACGTGCCAACAAACTCCGCCACAACCTCGCTCACAAACGGAGAGAGCGCCATCGCAAGGCAGCAAACTTAGCGGCTCCTTTCACGTCAAAAATAGTCTAATAAATGTTTTTATATTTATCCTGCACGTATGTGCGTCTGTGTGCGCGCGTCGGTGCGTAGAGCCGCTATTCTCCCTGTGGCAACTCCGTTGCTCCACCGGCGCATAACAATGGCAGTACGGCGTTGGGCAGGAAGAAAAGAAGAAGAAGAAAAAAAAGAGAAGCGGTTGGCGTGGACGGGCGATAAGAGCGATGCAGGCAAAAATCAGCCACGCAGCGCAGTTCAACCCCGCCCCCCCCCTCAAAAAGAAAAAAAAAAGCGCGTCCTTTCCTCCCTTCTTCCATTACGGCGCGGCCAATTATTCCTCCGCCACCTCCGCCCCATCGTCCTCATCGGCGCAGCACACCATGGCAATAGTGCGCCAGTCGCTCTGGTACAAGTCCGCGTCCTGCAACTGCAGCAGCGTCTGAAGGCTCTCCGGAAACTCGCGCTGCACGCAACCCGTCCAGAAGGCCCGCGAGTCCGCAGGAACGCACAGCCACGCCCGCCACAGCCTGCAGACGTTTTCTGCCACGTTGAAGGTGAACGCAACTGGCAAGAAGGAGAGAACCTCCAACACGATAGGGCACTGCTGGTGCCACGGCTTGGCAAAACTACAGCCCTCAGCACCCACCGAGAGTGCTCCCCCCGCCACCGCGGCCTCCAGCATCCCCCGCTGCGCGAGCAACGTCGAGAGGCGGTCTGCAAATTGCGCAATCATCGCCTCCTCAGTCAGAGACAGCTCACACCGCTCCATCGGGGTCAGCCGTGGCAGTGAGGGGAGATCGATACTCCCCATGACATCATCAATGCTGTGACAGGCGTCCCGCGCCTGACGCTGCGCCTGCAGTAACGTTTCGTGGGCGTCGTCTAAGGCCGCCACCACGTCAGGGGAGAAGAGGCGCGGGTTGGACGCCACCAGCCCGCCACGACCAGGCATCGGCGTTCGCAGGTACTCCACCAGCAGGGCGGCGACGTCGTCCATGCGTGGGCCCCTGCATGGTAGAGGAGGCACACGTGGGTTTCAATAAACGACACCCACGCCAAGAAAGCAGCACACCACACGTTTCATGCGGCAGCGTGGGTGGGATTCAAAGGAATGAAAAGGGGACAAAAGACGGCAATGGGCGAAAGAACGCAAGAAGGCAGAGAGCACCTCCTCCCCATGTACGGAGTGGCGCAGTGATACACGACAAAAAAAAACGGCGGAATCAGCCAAGAGTGGGAAACTGCCACACAATGCGCCCCAAACGCCTCTGTAAAGGAGGATATAAAGTGCAAGCGGAAGCAGCAGGCCATGCCCGTGTAAGCAACGCAAAAGAAGAGCAAAAACAAAGAGAAAACAAAAAGGGTGTGGGGGAGATAAGTAGACATTGTAAGCGGAAGAAGAAAAAACCAGCGTCAGTCATCTATAAACAGAAGGCTCCTCCACCGCCGAGGCCGCACGCGTAACCTCCTTGAAGCTACTGATGAGATCCTGAAGGGCATTTGAAAATTCAAAGCGATGCCCACTGAGGCCGCCACTGTTCCGCTCATTCGACCTCTCCATAAGCAACTTCTCCTCTAGATTGATGTCAGAAAGAATTGCCCATAATCGTGCATTCCCCTCTCGCGCCTGCTGATACCGAGACCGGGTGACGTGCAGCCTCTGCTGCAAATCTCCCATCTCAAGGTTCCCGTGAGCACCCTCCTCAGCCTGTGAGTGTCGTTCAGCGCTGGGATCCTTCGTTACGGCGACCGACGACACCGCCGTCATGCTCGCCAGCTTTGCCTCAGCCTCCTCTGCATCGGCCTTGAGTTGTGTCTTTCGCCTTTTGGCCGCGGCTATCAATCGGCGCAAGTTTTTCTCCCGCTGCACGGCCCTCTCTATCTTGCCATCCAGCTCCTGCACCGCAAGCACCGTCGCCGCGGTCTCCTCCACCTGCCTCCGCAGCCTTTTGTCCAGCACCGCGAGCCGCTGTGCCCGCTTCTCCACCGCCCGCCGCGACTCCCTGGCCTCCAACTTGATGTCCGTCACGAGCGCCGCCCAGTCAAACGGCCGCGTGCTCGCAGGCGGCGACAGCGACGGCGACCCCTCGTCGGCCCCTACGAGGGGCGCAGTGGGGCTCTGCGAGGGCAGCTCCGATAGCGCCGTCGTGGGGACCAAAAAAAGGAAAAAAAAAGCACACACACAAGCCAAGAAAGTGTGGGCGGAGTGGAAGGCCGCGGGAGCGACTTCCCTTAAAGCGCCGATTGTTGCCGCTGTCACGAGCGAGGGAAAACCCTTGTGAAGGAAAAAAAAGGAAAAGGAAAGGGAAAATACATGCACGGGGAAACAACAACAAAAAAAAAACAAGAAAAATTAGGCGTGGTGAAATCCATAGGGAGAAAGGGAGGAAAAAAGGGGGGCTAAGAAGAGAGCACAAGCACGTGTTTCCCAGCCAGCAAGCAGAACATAGCAGCACACGTTCATTATTTTCCCTGCCCTTGACTGCAAAGACAACACGGCCGCAATAAATAATAATAACCGTAGTCACAGAATAAAATTCAATGGCGCAGTGCGGGTTGGGGAAAAAACAACAGGGAGACACACACACACACACAGAGAGAGAGAGGCAGATGCTGGCAACCCTCTTACTTTTCAAAGCGCATGGAGTACCCCCCACTCTTTGGGTCCTTGTCAAACTTAAAATTGTCCGTCGACAGCCCAAAGTAGTTGAGGAAGCGATTTCCCAAATCCTTCAAATCCCCCAGCATCTTCTGCATCTCCTCATCCACCTTCGCCTTGGCGGCCGCCTTGTGGGCACGACCCTCCGCGTCCAACACCCCACCCTGCTTTTCGTACTCCTCGTAGTCCCCATACGCGTTCGACCACTTGCTAAGCACGTAGTAGCACTCCGCCCGCCGGAAAAATGCCTTGGCGTAGATACCCTTGTGCCGGATGGCCTCTGTGAGGTTGGCCACGGCGTCCTCGTACAACTCCAGCTTCGCCAAACACAACCCGGCGTTGCAGTATACCTGCGAGGTGAGCGTGTAGTCGACACCGTCGTCGTCTCCACCGTCTGCCGCTGCTGCTTCTGCTGCGTCCAACGCATCAGTTTTGGCGCCCTTCCCGTCACATTCGGTGCCGGTGCCTGCCGGTGCCGCTGCCGCCCTCCTCTGCGGGGCGCGAGTCCGGCTGCGTCGCAGCGGCGGAGGGCTTCTCGTCGCCCGGGGCCTCCTTCCCGGCCTGAGCCGCCGATTCCTTTCGGACGGGTTTGAGCGGCGCCACCTTCAGCGCCGCACGGTACATCTCCAAAGCCTCCGCCACCGCCCCGCCGGCAAACAGCTCGTTGCCCCGCTTCTTCAGCCGCTCACACTCCGCCGCGTCAACGGCGCACTCACGCGCCGCGGCGGCGTTCCCCAGCGGGCATGTGGCCCCCGCCTCCTCCGCGCGCCCCTCCCCCACGACCGACATTGCACAAACCCCCAACACACAACCTTACCGGCAAAGCAAACAACCGACGCATAAAAAAACAAACAAACGAAAACGAAAAAAAAAAAAGAAGAAAAGCAGGTAAGATAACTTCAAGGGAAGGCGAGGCAAACGCTGAAAAGCTTGCAAGACGCCACAAAGTGGAAACGAACAAGCCCAACAAAGGGTAGCCCCGCTCGAGCAAGGCGGAGGGCGGCAAAGTGGCGGTAAGACGACAACTCACTCCAGGAGGAACTCCCATAGAATGTCTTCAAATGAAAAAATTGGCAAGAACGACCGCCTTCAAGTGGTACTTGTGGTTCACGTGACGCCCAGCGCAGTACATGACGCGGGTTCCTAGTGGGACGCGTTGATCGTTCATCAAAATGCACGTATTTCTATCAAAGTTTGTTTGAAGCCCACTCATCCGTGTATTCGTTTGACGCCGGGAAAGCAGACAAACCCAGTATATATTCCCAGGCTTCACACGCTGCCGACTCACCTCTCCCCGATCAGACTTAAAGCGCTGCACTGAAACCCGGTGCGCCACCGCAGGAAAGATGCGGCAGTGTGCGAAACGCTCGGCGGTGGCCTTTGATATGAGCCGCACGTGCTTGCAGTTTGTGTTGTCCACGCAGTGGAGCTTCACCTGGTCGCTGAAGGGGACACCTGTGCCGTACCCCTCCGCCCCCGTCCCCCAGCGAGAACGGTACGACGCCTTCCTTCGAATGATGAGGTTGTATCGGAACCATGACTTGTTCACGGGTTTGCCCGCCGGCAGCTTTGCCGCGGCGTCCGTCGTGGTGGGTGCCAGACGCAGACCCCACCAACGCAGCATCACACACGCGGCTGGAACCTACAAACAAAAAAAAAAACTGAGAGAAAAGTCAGGAGGCAGGCACGGCCCAAAACAAGCGTAGGCAATAAAAGCTGAGCATCGGAGAAAGGTTAAAAAAAAAAAACGTGTTCAGAATCGTGTGTGTGTGTGTGTGTGCCAGCGTGCCCCACACGAGGCAGAGAAAGAAAGAAAAGATGGGCACACACACACACACTCGTCCTGTTGCGGCCTCAGGACCGCATAGAGTCGACGTCGCCCCGCCTCCCAAATATAAGATTACGAGGCTCATTCGATACTGCGTGACGGCTTCGCTCAAACTCGCGCCGCAGGTTCTCCCGCAGCGCCATCAACTTTGCTACCGAGTCATTCACGTCACCGCCCACTTCCTTCCTAAGCTTTTCCTTGGCCCGCTGGAACTCCTCCATCGCCTGGTGCTCCCAGGACACCTCAAGAGGCACCTCCTCCTCGGATTGTGTAGCGGGAACCACGTTGCCAAAGACGTAGTCCTTGTGGCGCAGGTACGGGTAGGGGTCTATTCCCTTCTGCAGGCAGAGCCGCACACGTTCCTCCTCCTTTTGCCAGCGAATGTCATTCATGAGGTACGGCTTGAGCACCGGGTATAGCAGCAAGGGGAAGACGGAGATGCCCGAGGAGGCAAAAAGGATAACAACCCAGGGAGACTCCTGTCCAATGCGGTGGCCAAGGCTGGCAAGGGGTGCGCCCACGGCCGACAACACTGCATTGCACCCGTCGCAAAACCGGCGCACCACATCCACCGTGTAGGTGGTGCATCGCAGCTTAAAACGAGTAAAGGCAAGTGACATGCCGGCTTTTGGGGGGTTGCCGCGCTCCTTCCCCGCTCCCTCGTGCGCGCCCACGCGTGTCCCTTGCTGCGCACCCACCGTGTGTGGACCTCCTGCACAGTCCCCCGCTGGCCTCCAAGCCGTGTGGCCGCACTCAAGGCAAAACAACAAACCAAAAGGAATAAGAATAAAAAGAAGAAAGAAAAAAACTGACGCAACAACAACGGCAAAGGCGGCGCCACCAACACCGCCAACAAGCGACAGGCAGGCAGGCAGCACAGAGCTGCGCAGCACAGAATTAAAAAAAGTATCTCAAGAGTCGCCCCAGCAACAGTTCCTCCGCGGGGCTCAGCGAGCCCGTACCCCAGGGCTGCAGCTCGTACTCAAGTATCACCTCCTCCGCGGCAAGCAAGCCACGCTCGAGCACAACCACGGCAAAGAAGTGCTCCTCCATCAAACGCTGCAGCTCCTTCTCGCCATCGACGCCCCCTCGCTCCGACTCCTGCACGAACCAAGAGCGATACCAACTAGGCAGCTCCTCCACTGCAAACGCCACCTCCACCGCGGCATTCCGCCTCCTGTCAACGCCATCGTCTCCGTTGATGAGGTCGATGAAGGGCAAAATCCCCAGCTCCACAGGATCGCCGGGCGCCGTGGTCCAGCACAACGGCAAATGTTGAGCTCTCGACAATATGACTTCCACCGCCCCACGGAAGTAAGGCAGTGAGGGCACCACGTTTTCTTCGGAAAATATCGCATGCGCAGCCCTTACCTCATCTTCAATTCTGCGCCGGGCATCCGTCAGGTAGGGCAGCAGCGCCGTGTGATGAAGTCGGCACAAACGCTCACAGCCTTCTTCCATCGTCTTAAACGACGGGGAACTCGGCAGGACGCTCAGCCATCCCCACCACGGCGAAAGCGCCCGCTGACGCTCAATCGCAAGACGCCATGCAAGCCTCGCCCATTGGCCTGCAGTGCAGCCCAGTAGCCGCGCCAGCGCGCCGTCGTCTAGGCGCTGAAGCTTCTGCAGCGCCCCCGCCTCGACCATCCGCAAGTTCGCCCCGAGCCTCTCCAGGGTCGTCACGGCGCAGGCACGTCGCGAGGGAACCACCAGCAGCGGGGTACCCGCATCACACGCGTCCTTCACAAAAACCCCGTACCCCACAGATGCGTCACGCTTTTCAATCAGCACCGTGTCATGCAGCCCCAGGCGCTTCAGAATCGCGTACGTTGCGGTGTATTCGGCGAACTTGGCAGCGCGTTGACCTCGCATTTATCCGTGGGACACAGAGCCCGCTCCACACGCCATGCAGTTGCGGCTGTAACAAGGGGAAATCCAAAAAAGTAAGATCGGAGGAGGGGGAAGAAAAAGAAAAAAAAGAGAGAAAGAAATATATATATCAGCTAAAATCCAAGCCGTTGGATGAGGTTGACCTGATTACGAGAGAAGGCAGGGGAAACTTCGAGAACGGAGGCACCAAAACTGCAACGGCGGCCCACAGTACATACATACGCATCTATTCATAAATGTGTAATGGAATAGCTGTGGTTCCACCACCGCCGCCGGCACCCACCACCAAGGCGCTGTCCAGCCGCTGCAGAGCAACACACTGGCACACACACACACACAAAAAAGTAAACGGCAGCCGCCCATGCAAGAGCAAAAAGGCGGGGAAGAAAAAAAAGAAAAAAGAAAAAAAAACATACTACGCAATAGACTCTGCTCACAGGCACGGAGTGGAAGCATTTCGGTGACCACGCTTAAGTGAAGCAATGAGCTCCAGCACCGTGCGCTCCGCCACCACATTCCCGACAGAATTCAGCACGCCACAGTAGTCAGCCAGGGTATTCAGCACAATGTCACCCAGACTCGGAGCCTCTGACGGATCTTCGTCCCGCAGAGGCGAGGGTATCACCTTTTGCAGAAACTCTCTTGAGGAAAAAAGAGGATCTGCTAAAAGGACAATGGCAAGCAAACCAGCAACGTCCGTCAGGTGCGCCGACTCAGACAACAACACAAGCGCCTCAGATGGAGAAGCCATCGAAAAGAGCATGCGTGCCACCTCCATCATTTCCCCGCGCTTGGCGTAATACGAACACCAACGACGCAAAAGTTCCTGTTTTTGCGGAGGCGCCATGGAAGTTAACTTCGCCAGAACTGCCGCCTCGCTCCAGTTGCCACAGGACTGCAAACTCAAGGCTGCCTCATAGTAGTCACCGCAAAGCATGTACTTCTCCACCGCGGCGTCCGCATCTCCGCGCTCCAAAGACATTGCAGCTGCATGCCGCGCTGTAGCCACAAATAAAGGAAATGATGCAGCATCACTGCAAGGAACGGAAGCCGCGGCTATCGTTACGGCAAGATTAGAAAGATGCGGAAATTGGTCGCTCAAGAAATTGACGTCCATCAACACAGTTATGGCCTGCTGAGGCTCCTGAAGCTTCAGCAGCTCTCGTGCCACAGCCAGACGACACGCTGAACTATCCACCGTTTGGTTCTTTGCAGCCTCCAGAGCAGCTATGCGATGTTCATTGAAACACAGACGATTGCTACGAACGACGTCTGGGTTTGCCACCGCCTCGGAAAAGCGGTTACAATGGTTATAAAAAAAGGGCGGGCTCAACTTCTGTTCCATGTCAATTTGATCCAAGGGCTGAGGCTCATCGCCAGCGCCGCAGCCAGGCCGCCAAAGACCTTTCGTTATGCAAAACTGCAACCAGAAACGCTGCTTTTCTACTTGGCCAAAAAAGCGAGCCACCCAAAATGCAAGCTCCTCGGTGCTTTTCTTCACACATGCGCGCTGCAGTGGGTCACGAATGTGCCGTGGAACCATCGTCTCTTTGTAGATATCCAGTTCCTGTGCCAGTGTTGTAATCGCCTCAGTAATAACCTGACCAAACGGTCCTCGACACGGGCGCCGCCGTGGATCGATGCCTTGTACCAGGTAACTTGGCGTGCTGGTGCTCTGCAGGCTGCTGGTGCCTGGCGAGTCACACATGACCTGCGTCTCCAGCAGCGTTTGAATGTGTGTTCGGTGGGCGGGCAAAAAAAAAGCACTGGTTTGTACGGGGCGTCGATGAACCTTGCAGGAGACGCTGCTATTGACAGAGGTGAGAGACTTGTCAATCAGCGCAAGATCCCCGTTGGAAGTGAGAACAAGGAGCTTATCCGCGACCCACGTCAAATGTCTTGCGGCCAAGTTGATCCGTGTTGCCCGCGAGTAGCTTACCCGCTCTTGGTTCGACGCCCCCCAGACGCCGAAGGAGCCGTCCACAAAGGCGACGGCAACGAGCTGCGAGGAGGCACTCGCCTCGGCACGGCTGTCAGTACTGAGCCCAGCGCCCTTCGGCACTGCCACGTGCAGCACGGGGGTGTTGACTGAAACAGATTTGAGGGCACGCAGGGTAAACCCAGAGCTGCCTAGGCGCATGACGAGAGGCAACTTCACCCCATCCATCACGATCAACGCCTCGTCGGTAGGCACGCACCGCACGCGGGCGATGGAGCCAGCGGAAAACAACGAGGTCACATCACGATTTTTTACGACCCGGTCCTTGTACACCGTCCAGAGGCTCATGCCACCATCGGTAAAGATAATAGCCAGCAGCTGGGGAGTGCCATGAACGCCTGTGAGGCAGGAAAGAAATACTTGCGGCGCCCATGAAACTCCCGCCACTCCCATCCCCTCGAAGGCATAAATAAGTTCAGCCGCTTCTACGCCCCAGACTTCAAAGTTGCCATCAAGAAAAGTCAAGAGCAAGAAAGTTCCTGTAGCGCTTAAAGTGATATCGCTCATGCGGGTGGCATCCGGGTGTGTCGGCCTTCGCAGCACGCGTAGCGGGACGCCACTGCGACAGTCGAACAGTGTCACCTGGTGAAAGTGACGCAGCTGGGTGGCTTTGTTTGTCACCACCCACACCGACTCCCCCCAACGATGCGGACTAAGCAAGATGATGCGGGTGCCGCCAGCGTGGACAATGTTTATCCTCCGCAGAGTGACGTTGTGCATGACGTCTATGAGCACTATGTGACCGTTCTCCAACGCGCAGCACACGACGTTGTCCCCAGCCACGCAGAGCCGGGTTGGCTTAAAAAGGGCAAAGGCAAAAAATCCCTCCAGTGACCACCGCCGGCGCTCCACCAAGTACCGCCACCGTGCCACGGAGCCATCGGCGAAAATTACGGCGAAGAGGTTTGCCGTCAGTTGAGACTGAACGACGTTTGACACCTTCTTGGACACAATTCGCACCCCCCGCACGTCGGCAGCGACGCTTGTCACCTTTTCCCTTGGACACATGTGCCAGGCGCACAGGCGCTGGTCGGTCCCGAAGGAATACAAAAAAGGGAGCCCCTGCGCCATCTCCGCCAGTGAGGCGGGCGAAGAAGCGAAGAGGCGCCTGAACTCCACATCGCTCTTCGCGTGCCACAACACCTGTTCGTTAAGCAGCAAATTTGTTTTCCAGTCGTAGGCGCCAACGGAATTACGTGTCGCGAAAAACAGGAGCTCCTCATTGGCCTCGCTAAAGGCGGCATCCAGGACGGTTTCATGGCCGTCCGCGCTGTCATAAATGAGATCCTTCGTGTATGGAATACTGGAACTCTGACGCACTCCCGTCTCCAAGGAACCGATCACGCGCAGACGATCCCCAAGCACGACACAAGACGCCTGTGTGGAGCTCAGCTTGGACGTACACAAACGCAACGGGGCAAACGAGTCTGTGCGGCCGGTGCGAATGGGGAATTGAAACTCACGGATGGGTTCCGTCCCCGCGAGGTGAGAATCGTACACAAAATTCGAGCCGTCCCTCGTTACCGCCAACAAATGCTGCTTCGCAAGGTAATTGAGGGCATAAATGGGCTGGGCATTCGGCACCTGCACACTATTCACAATGACGCCTTCCGCCACATCCCAAATAGCAACCGCCCCTAGACGATCTCCAGTGATGAGAAACAATCCATGTTGCAAGTAGGACGCCGGTGCCGGCTTCCAATGCACACATGTCACGGGTGCATTATGGCCATGCAGTGTTTGGACAAGTTGCATACTGTTCATGTCAACCACAAAAACATCACCTGAGTCATCGGAGTAAGAGCCATAAGCCAATAAATCTTGACATCCGTATTCGGCCGACTGGTACGGCCAGTTTCTCAGGTCATCAATAGGGGCTGTCCCCGCATTCGGGAACGACTCCCTTCCTGGAATGATTTTAGCACCCAACACGCTGTGCATACGAAGCCGCTCGCCCCTATTCCCCCTCTCCTTCTCCCTCCTCCACCCTGGCCTTTTCTACTGGGCGTTTGTGTGTGTGTGTGGTTTCAGTTGGGAAGCAAAAAAAAAAAATGAGGTCATTAAGGCGCAAAACGCCATGCAAACGGCTCCACCCAGACCCAAAGGGAAGTATGACATGAAAAATCATCGCCTTCCACGAAGGCACCCGTTATACCAAAATTACGTCAAGTAACGCCCAGTATACG